AAGAATAAAGAAAAATATCAATTATGGGATTACTGCTTGATCCAATATTAAATTCTCCAAACTAACATGATGAGAATAATTTGGTAGACAGGAAGGAGAATTACTAATGAGATCTTGGAGTTAAAAGGTTAAAGGTGCTGAATATCAATGGTACATACCTTGAAACAGGTTTCTACTGAAATGGCTCATGCACTTTGTAAGCTTGGTCTTCACGGGTTCAGCAGGAAAGAAGACATTCATGATAACCTAGTTGTGACTTTATGATAGATTGCATTCTCAATGAGTACCATGGAACCAAACCTAACGTGATCGTTGCCGCCTCAGAGAACCGATAAATTTTTGTATAACTAACTCAAAGTGAATACATGTTAACACGCGCGAATATGTGAATAACCAAGAATCGGTTGACTTTCGTTTTGCACCTAAATTGGTGACAGGGTTAGCAAGTTGCCCACTACAGCTGTCTTAGAACGAAGTGAAGCAAAATCAGTGCAATTTTATATGGTTTTTTTGACCCTCAAATGAATTGGTGGTCTCATGACAAACCCATGCACTTGTCCTTCAACCGGAGCCACTAAGCCCTTGTATTTTCTAATTTGCAATTTCAGGTGCCTCTTCTAGTGGAGACATTGACGTATTAGTGACACACCCTTCGTTTGTGTCTACCGATACCGACTTTGACAAGGTGAGAGATTTGAATAGTGAAGGGAGTGTCTCCTTCGTTGTTCGAAATATGAACGGTATTAACCTTGAATGTGACGCTGTAACCAAACTTTAAAATTTCGCAGTTGGATATCTTCGAAATGGTTCTTTGCTCTTTGATTCTGGATCAAACTGGAATTTTTTAATTCAATTTTTAGAAAGATCGGGTTGATCGGGTTCTTTGAAATTTGAACATACTATCAATGTCAAAATTTCGTGTAAACTTTTTAAGAGCAGACATGAAAATTATGTGGTTTCTAGACCATACTCCTCCTTTTAACTCATAATTAATGCTAAGTTCGTATCGAACCTGGGCTAATGCGCCATCCACCCTCCCATCTCAAAGTTCCACTATAAATTTTTTCCTTTGCAATAAGCTTCATTTCGTTTTTTTTATATTATGAAATTAAAATATTTTTCAATTTCCAATTGCAGAAGGCTCTTCTGCGTGGTATCGTTGACACGCTGACTAAAGCGGGCTTTGTGACAGATTCAATATCCCTCGGTGATACTAAGTTTATGGTAAGGATTCCACTGCAGTAGTATTTGCAAATCTTATTGAACAAACCTCTAGAACAACAAAGGCTGTTAATGCTCCCTTAAGCATTCCCAAGCAATCTCAAATAAATGATGAATTTTTGCTTAAGTCCATCCAAAACCCTTCCGTACTTTTATCTGTTATTCCTTTCCCCTTAATTTTTTTACGTTTCTTTGTGTTTCTCACTTTTTATGATCACCTTTTCTCTCTTTTTCTGGCCGTTTCTTTGGTTGATAATACCTCGATGCCTTCGTGCCTTCGTCCCTTCGTGCCTTCGTGCCTTCGTGCCTTCGTGCCTTCGTACCTTCGTGCCTTCGTCTATTGGTGTCTCTATGCGTTCTCCCATTCGTCTCTCCATCCATTCGTTTCTTCGAGCCTTAAGGCCTTTTGTGCCTTTGTGGCTTGGTCCTTTGCATCTTTGATCCTTTCGTATTTACTCGTCCTCAATTATATATCCAACAACTTTATTTTCTTTGGTTGATTACCTGTTGTTCAAGCCATTTGATCAAAATGTGCACTTGCAGTGTGTAGCACGCACGCGGATAAACCTTTCGGTTGAAGAACTTACCTTGGTAGATCATAGAAAGTGCAGTTGTCAGTAATGAATCATTACTTTGATAGGGGGTCTGTATCCTACCGAAATCAGAAAAATCATTACACAGAAGGATTGATATCAGGTACGGAAACGATTGTCTCGTGATTTAGAACTAGATTTTTATTAGCATAAACAAACTTATTCGTGCCAATTAAGATTTCCAAGCAGAGAACATCGAAATTTCCTAGGTCGTTTAGGAAAAAAGGTGAATTTCTGTTTCAGGATGAAGCCCTCTTGGCACCATTTAGAAAAACCAACGTTTAGTTTTTGTAAGTGCCAACCGTCCACAAGTTCATAATGTTGACAAGTTAACCTTTTAAGCCCAAAGGGTGACTAGTTTCTAATTTCTCCCAACAGTATCGCCCCTGAATCACACATTAAGGTCGTGAGAATAAAGGAAATGATCACTAACTAAAGAACATCTTGATTATTTAACAAATTATCCTTGTCAGCACCTTTGGGAATGTTTAGAAAACAGTGTGGAAAATGAATACGTGAGTGAACTTCGAAGTAATGAACACTACTTATAATAAGCAGTAGTGAAAGTAAATACTGGAAAAACTCAGGCCTGTATGGGAGTTGAACCCATGACCTCTGCGATGCCGATGCAATGCTCTTCCGAGCTCACGAGCCAACTGGGAGCGGGCCATTTTGTTGGTTCATGATAAACCCGTGAAGATATGAATGAATTACTGCATATGTGAATTACTGAAAATCATATTTGTGATTTTCATTTATTCACCGTCAGTATGGAGGATACGCATACTGATGTTAAGGTGTCACGAAGGGTAACTGAACTACTTAATCTTTCAACTATTGCAGGTTAATCCCTAATGATCAGTACTTCTGTGGGATTTTGTACTTCACTGGCAGTGACGAATTTAACAGAAGAATGCGACACGAGGCATTAGAGAAAGGTTTTACTCTCAATGAATATTCTATAAGGTAAGTGTCTTATGATAACGTGCGAATAGATACGTGACGAAAGTATTTTCTGAAGCAGACAACAGAATGAAGCAGAGCACGTCGTCGACAAGTAACTAGGGACCTTAAGCAAACCACGACGGCGGCGGCAACGAGGACATAGAAAAACAAAAGATCTAATTGGCAGAACAATAGCTCAGCACGTGTGTTTTAAAACTTTGTACATTTCTCAGCCGTCCCATGCAAAACAACAACTTGAAATCAGCACAATTTGCGTCGTCTGCGAACCGAAACCGCGACGCCAAACTACTTTAAGTTCCATTTAGAACTCAACGCTTCTTTTATACGTTATGGTGAAGTTAAGGTGTGGCGTCGTATGAGACGGTAAACACATGCAACCATTTTTGAAATTCTAATTAAAGGCAGAAATTCATTTTTAATCGAAGACTTCCTTGGCGTTGCCGTCCTGACTGCTTAAGGTCCTTACTATCTTCATCACGACACTTTAGTCTTGCTTTTAACCACCTTGAAGAATCGCAATCTCGTATACAATATTGAAAGCATTTTTTTCTTCCATTTCAGGCCACTGGGAAGCACAGGTAAGGTTTTTTTGTATAGTGCTTTTATGAAAAGTAATGACAGAAATGCTCCTGGCAACTGTGTTCCACTATGATCGAGTGCCCGCCCGCGATGCAAAGCGGAACGCGGTTACCACGAGACTGGCGATCACCATAGATGTGCTATCTATAAAATTGCTTTGGGCATTTGGTGTAGTTGAAATGCTGAAGCATGACGGTGACGCGGTTCGTGGCGGGCAGCATGCCCTGCTCCGAATGGAAATATTTGGGTTGAACTCTTCGCTCGAGTCATAGATCGAGACCTTACACTCTTACACAGTCCCTCTCCGCCTAGGAGTATGACTAAGTACCCGCCAACTGTACGGGAAACCTAGCGCGATTAGGAGCCTGCTTCTAGGCACAATGCTAAATGCTAAATGTATCGACATCTCTATGTACGTGAAGTCGTCGTGGACTTTACTGTGGCATCATTGAAATGACATCTATTACTCAGAGTTTGTCATTGCCGTTTAGGTGTGCCGGGAGAACCGATTCCAGTCTCAAGTGAACAAGACATCTTTGAAATAATCGGCATGGATTACAAAGAACCGACTGAGAGGAATCTTTGAGGGAAATTGCGTCCCAAAAGTCATTGATAATTTTCTCTAAAGCCTTTGTTGTGTGCTTCTTGTACAATCCACGTTGAATAACTCTATTACGGACATTGCTCTCGCCTCGAGGTTCGATCGAGGTTGTCAGTAAGCTATTTAAGCTCTATCAAATAAACTATAACAGGGTTTGAGGACTGATGTTGGAAAAAGTGAGGCTGTACTTATAAATATACATTTATTTAGACGGTGCTACCTTTGTATTGATGGTCTCAATGTGGTAATGGCTTTTACGGCTAACGGTTAAAATTTGGGCCAATTTACGGCTAACGGTTTATATTTTCCCATTGCGGTCACCGGGAAAAAAATTTACGATTTCCTTTTTTTTTTGCGACTAACATTTAAACTTTTTCAATGTTTACGGCCAAAAAATATCGCATGCAAAAAAGTGGGAAATTTTTAGGGACACTTCGTTTTTCGATAATTTCAGTTTCTGTTTTTGTTTGTTTGTGGCATTTACTTTCCAGATAAAGGACAATACGCAAGTACATATCGCGGTTATGATTCGCTTGGTGCTATATGGAGATGCTTTTTGTGTGAAAATCTTTGTATCAGTGACATCTTTTTTCCTTAATCGAGTTGTGCTCACATTTGAACTGATTTGATAAGTTGATATGATCGCTGCGAGAAAGGGAATCGTTTATCGCTCCAGTTGGCCAGGGAACGTCATGAATTAGTCTCTTTAAAAGTTACTGAGACCGGCGAACAACCCAGTAGATGGTACTCTCTCTTTCACACGTACGTTGGACATCGCTTACACTCTGCTTAGTGTATTCGGTTTAAGTTTAGAGCTCGTTTTGATTCCCTTGATTTTCGTGCAAAAATCACAACCTTTTTCTATTAATTGGAAAAGAAAGCTGGTGGATAAATTTAATTTACATACAAATTTTTTTTTTTTTTGCACTTTTATGTCAACGAAACTCAAGAGGACTCTGCTCTTGTTTATTTTGTGGACCAAAACTTTCACAAATGGCTTTTTAAAACGATTACTTTTTTATAGCTTTGTTTGCTTACGCAGGCTTGCGAAGTTTGTGTAAACAGTAAAGAAGATTGTGCAAACTTTCAAGGGATTAACGTGCCTTATTGAAGTGCTAAAAGAATTCTCTACTCAAGCGCGCGTGGCTTTTCATTTGCCGGTTGCCAAGGTGATATTTGGCAACTGACGTGATAAAAGTGTCCGGCTCGCGCGGGTGTTCAACACGCGCTTCTCAAAAGCGCCAGTTGAGTGGGGTAACTTCAAGAAAAACTCTTCATTCTGAAAATATTTGGATCTTAAGCTACTAGATACCAATTTACGGAGCTGGCTGATGCTTTATGAAGACTCTACATGCTCTTAGAGGAAAATTTTTCGATTGCTTTTGCACGCTTTGGTGCCTTGTAAAGCTCAAAGAGTTTACATACTGAAGATGGAGGAATGAACGGCCCTCCTTCTGAAAGAAAGTAAGCAGCTCCCAAATTGTAACTTCTGCTTTGTTTGACCGAATATTATTTTCATTTCAAGCTGTTTTCGTTGAGTAAATATTTTAGGTTCTTGTGGTCTTTGTTTACACTTTGCGCACCGTGAGTGACGAGATACCACATAATGAAATGTCGAAGCTTTGTACTTGGGACAATAACATGGTGTTTTATATCTTTTCAGGGCATCGATGGGGAAAGAAGAGCGATCAAAAGACAGAAAACAGCATCTGCTTCCTTTCTTGAAGCAAACAAGATCGAAGAAATCCATAAACCTTGCACAGGTAATAATCTTGACAGCTAAACGATTACAGCTTTCCAAGTTGCAGTGTGGTTGCGGTCTTAGCAGTTTCAAGCCCAGATAGGTTCCCCAATCGTGTCTGATTCGAACTATAACCTCGTCGCAACCATTTGGTAGCTTAAAACTACGTTATGTTTTGGAGTTAAATGCAGATTCTTGGATGATTTACGTAATTCGGCCGGTTAAATTCAATAACACTTGTGTAATACACAACGTCCAGCCGTGTCGATTTCAGTTCAGACAATCTCGACGATAGACTGTGAAAGACTGTAATTCTTCTCAAATCAATTGTAGCGCTCCAATTTAAACTGGAAAAACCGTGATATCGGCCTTAAAATTACAAAAAAATTACTGACAATTAATCGATCCTTAATGTTTTATCATCGGAAATCTGATACCATCGAAATATGGAATAGGTTCAGGTTGGACGGGGGAAATTTTCATGCGCAAGAACGTGGTAGTTTCTATCATATACGACGTCGTAATTGAGGATACGGATTTGTAAGAGCAAATGAAGGTTGAAGAATCGATAACAAACAATGCCTCTTTTTCTCACTTTTCACGGTTGCACAACTTCATTTTGATCTAATCAGGGAAAATATTTTTTTCCAGTTGCGCGCATATGCATGTTTGCATAATTTCTTGTGGTGGTCACCGTTTTTAAATACGTCACAAGCACTTGATGCTTCATTTAATAACATAAAATTGTTATTTGAAATTCGAACCCTCCTTATCTATCACTTTTTAAATTAATTTTTTATTTGAACAGCATTAATTTCCTCCTTAAGAAAAGAAATGGTGCAGATAATCTATAAAACAGGGAAAAACTTTTTCTCGGTTGAAAATCATTAAGTTGATTTAATTCATACACTGTTACAGTAGCTTCATCAATTTTTCTCAAGCCTAGAAAAAAAGTTATGATGATTAATGAAATCTGATTTCTTGCTCAAAACAAATTAAAGGATTTCAGTTTTATTGCTGTGAAAAACAACCAGCACAAAGTTATGTTTCATTTAGTAAATAATACTTTCTGTATATTTGACATTTTCCCACACTGGTACAGAAAATATTTAAGTACAATCTCAGAACTACTGATAACTGAAAGTATGGTTAGAAGACCAACATGTTTGGGACAAAGAGTTAAATTTTTCTTAGATTACAAATCCTCTTTTTTTGCTGTCTAAGGATCATTAACATAAACTTTCAACTGGCATTAACTTTCTTAGCGTGGTCTTAAGCCTTAAGATTTTTTTAAAACCTGAGAGCTCAATCACACATAAATTTTTGGGTGCATGTGTAGACAATTTGAAAACCATTTGAGCTGTTAGTCTCCTCTTTGAATGATAGATTCTTATATGTCTCTGTTTTGACTTTACGTAATCCTTTTTGTTGTTTTTTATTAATCCTTTGTTCTTTGATGGGGTTTAAATTCATTGCAAAGTATTGTTATCATTGGTATTGAATGTTAGTATTGTCTTTACTAGATAATGATCTTGGGCTGTTACTAAGCAACAAAAATAATAAATGTTTATTGGTTCCCAGTTGATGTAGTTATAAACCTCTGCTGTGTAAACAAAAACGCACCGGAGATGAGCCTTTTGTGATATACAAAAGTCTCAATCAATATTATTGTTGAAGTGGAAAGATAATATCTACATTTTCTATCCAGGCATTGATAGATGCATGAGTTTGAATTTAACTCTTTAATCCCTGAGAGTGATCAGCATCTAATTTCTCCCTTCAATATCACCCTTAAATCAAACATCAAGGTCATGAGAATAAAGGAAATGACAATTAACTGAAGAACCTCTTGATTGTGAAACAAATTCTCCTCACTAGCACATTAGGAAATGTATAGAGACCAGTATGGAGAATATGCATATTGATGTTAGGGTGTAAAGGGTTAAGAGACATCCAATGAAAGCTCTTGAACAAGTAGTTAAAACTTCAATTAAAGCATCAAATTATTGTATTTTTCATTAGACTGTCATATTTTTACTCTAGTGCATCCCAAATTATTTTCTTATTTATTTACTCAGATGACAAAACTAACTTTTTAATATTTCAGTAATAAACAATGTCTGATGAATTCATCATGGTATGATTTTGCTTTACATCAATTGGTTCATTTTAAGGAAGTTTGAATTAAATTTTTGAAAAGAAATTAATGCCAATGCATCTCAACCCAATTACAAGTAAAATGAAAACAATGTTTCATCAGCTTCTTTATTAAAATTCTCCTCTTGATCTGTGTTCTTTAGCACAGCTGACATTCACTTTTGTTATGAAATTACACCCACCTGCAGTTTGATAGACTGTGTCATGAGATGAACAAATATCTGTGGGTGGAATTGTCACAGACTTTAGTGAATGTTGTTAACATAAGAGGCAAAATTGGAATTATATATTACCTCTGTAATGCACTGTCTCTAAAGTTTTTTTTCTAAACTAAATAAATATAGTTTGCAAACTGCCATTGACAATGTACCAATTAAAATGGCTATACAAATACTATTGCTTGTGTTTAATTTCGAGCCATTATTTTAATTTTAAATTGTGAAACCTGAACACAATGAGATGTCAAAGTGAAATTTCCATTAAGATTCTTATGAATTGTTTATGAGGTTCAGTGTTTTTGAAAAATAAAATCTAACAAAATTTGCAAACAGCTTTTTAAAAAGGCTTTTCTAATCCAGAAATAATATCATGGGGTCGGCAGTAATTCTTAAGCGCAGAACTTATCAGAGTTCATCCGACGGAATCAGTAGTAGTAGCAATAGCAGTGTGGTGAGTTTTTTTAATTAAGAAGTTTTACTTTGAAAGTTTGCTTTAGCTTTCATATACTTAATGCTTTTCATAACCAGACAAAGAGAAACATTTCTTTAACATTCAACTCAGGTTCCCAGAAAATAGAGAAAGTGAATTGAATTCATAAGTTTCAGGGGGAAAAAAAACTTTCTTAACTATACATTGGGTGGTATTTTTGAAAATAAATGTTGATGGTTGACAAAGACCATTTTAGAAATTCAAGCTGCTTTTGCAAAAATTTCAAACAAAAATTTCATAAAATTGAAACAAGATTTTATATTCAATACTTGTAATTGTGCTGTATTTTTTTCAAAAGTATATAATGGTGTTGAAATGAGGAGGAGTTTTTACTTAACATTATGACCAACCCAGAAGTGTAAAATTTATCTTTTTTTTCCATATAGCAGTGAGCTACATATCCCCATATCCACATATATGCCTTTGTATTCAATTTTAGAATGTTTTGCCTGAAGAGATAAGAATAGCATTTAATTCATTCACAGAAAGTGCTTAAAATTGTTTATTGGTTTGTACAAAATGCACAGGTCTGCTGGTTGAGTTATAGATATAGAAAGTTTGAATGACTGCAAATGTATTTCTATAAGCTAGTTGGAAGTAATCGCTTGTGGTGGGGCTTAAAAGAGCAACTCATTCTTAAGATCTTAATATAAATTCTCTACACTGTTTTGTTATACAATTCCTGTATCTTTAGCTCTGACAATTTGGTGTGAAATCAAAATGTATTTGCTTATTGATATGCTTTTTTATAAAATAATTCAAATAGTATGTGTGCTCTGATTGGCCATAAAACCATTTTACATGAGCATATGTAAACACGGTTTTCGTTCCTCTTTCATTAGTTATTTTATAAAAGAACTGTAAAATGGTTTCTGTGTTTACATAGCCTGATGTAAACACTTGGGAGGTTGGAAGAACACTCAATAAGCTGGAAACCACTCTGCTTTGCTTCAATTGTTGTATTTCTCAGTGCACTGACAAGCCTTTAAGTGAGTTTTTATGCCAAGAAAATAAAGTGACAATTAAGAGAGATACCTTGTGATACACCAGGAGAAAGTGTTGAATGACTCATTTATACCATCCAAAAGAAAATTCAATCACCAACGCAATAATTGCACTATACAAACAATAATTGTAGTTGCTTCATGCTACAGAAGCCAGCATGACTTTAAGCTGCAGCATGCGGTGTAGGTCAGGTGACTCCAGTTCTAACTTAACCTTACTTTGATGACTTTCAGAGTCCTGATCAGAGTAATCATCGCACAGGAAATGCCCACCCAAGCAGTACATTTGGGAATGGATACCTAAGGTAATCAGTGCATGCATCTCTACTCTACACCAATAATTCACGTTCTTAGCCTTAAAGGGTAAGGGAAGAGTGGAAGTCAACTCTAGTGGATTATTCAGGATGAAAAAATATACATTGTACAAGACTGAAAACATGTAATTGGAGCCTCATTCACATTTATTAGCTGACTTTGTTCATCCCCTTCTCTAAAGCTTGAGTTAAATTATAGGAGTATATAATTTGCTACTGTTCTTGGATGAGAGGTCATGGGTCTTTTAAGGGGGGATGGGTTAGCTTGCAGTGTGCAACCATCAAGTTATGGATGCATGTGGGTGGTTGTTATGTGTGAAAAAGCGTGTGAGTTGCTTGAGTTTGAGTTGGTGTAGAAAAAAAAGGCAAAATAAACTGACATCAACATGCAACCTGCTGGCAAACGGGTCTACTGTATCAGCCAATTAGAATGCATGCTTTTGTAAAGCTACGTTAGAATTCCCATCAGTTCATCTTTTGTTTAAAGCTCCTGGGATCAGGATTCCTTGTCTCCAACTTTCAGGGATTTTTAATGGGGGAAATATACAAAGCGTAATAAACCTAAATCAGCGTCCAGCTATATTGTGAAGTTCTTTTTTAGTATAGCCATACAATGGTTTAGTGCAATTTAACCAAAGTCAGTTGTTGAAGTGTCAGCTTACAAGACTGCAATCCAAGGGAAGACCTGTTATGCCTTTAATCCCTTAAAGTGACTAGCATCTAACTTCTCTGTAGAGTGTCACAGCTGCACCAAACACTAAAGGTGTTAGAATAAAGGAAAGGATCAGCACCTTAAGAAGCTATTGATTGTTAGATAAATTCTCCTTGCCAGTATCATGGGAAATGTATCAAGAAAAGTATGGAGACTATGCAAACTGGTGTTAGGGACTGAAGGGTTGAAATAAACTCAAGACTTTCTGAATTTTTATTTTATAGCAAGAATGAACTCATTCTCAAGTATACTGAGGGAAAACCTCTTTTACGAGGACAACAGGTATGAATGTACTGTGGTGCACTCATTTCCATTAAACTTCATGTGGTCCTCTGTAACATGTAAAGTAATATTTTTTTCCAAAGGTCAGTTGGATCAATATCAGTATCTGGGCAACTACCCACCTACCCCTCCCCTAACCCAACATTACCCCTAACTTGTTATCGATTGACTGTTGTTGAGTTAGGGGAGGGGTAGGTGGGCAGTTGCCTAGATACTGATATTGATCCGGTCAGTTGTTAGCTGCAGGTATGAAATGTAAAATACACAATAATAAAGACATGCAATGATTAGCCAAAAAAAAAAACTTGGATTTGAAACGGAGAAGATTTAAGAAACTTAAGGTGACAGTTAAAAGAGGTGAACTTTTTAAACATCTCTTCACTTACGCTTTTAAAAAATGATTAATTCTTTCTCAGTGGTGGTACTCCTCATCTTTTCCCTTTCTTGCGTTGTGTTGTTGTTGTTTTTCTTTTTTTTTTTAACCTTAACTCGGATTCAAACTGACCTAATGTTCGATTACCTTAAGAAAACTTGTCCAGTGTTCTTGCATTGACCAAGGATTCCCTCGCCACTTTGCAATGTAATAAGATAAGATATCAAAATTTAATACAGTGCTGTAGGTAATTCATAACATGTTTACGCTAACAGCGTAGATCTTCTTGGATTGGATGCTCATTTCAGAACACAAGTTGACAAAATGTCCAGACAAATCAAATGATTATATATGAACTGTAAAAGAAAATCATTCTCCAAATTTTTCTGAGCACAAATATATAAACCCACCCTAATGTAAATGTATTATTTAATAGGTCGAAGTAGGTGATATAATTGAAGTTCGCATTCTGATACATTTTTTACTAATGATTACTTTTAGAGGGTTACAAGCATTCTTCCAGGAACTTTACCACAGCTTGGTCCAGACAAACATCACAGCCAGGTACTATGAGTACCCTTGACGCGATCTCGTTCCCAGGTCTTTTTCTTCTTCCATCTCTGCGAGAACTAGAGCCAAAACTACGCTTGTTCCTCATTTTGCTTCCTTGAGATCACTGCCCTTCAGTTTGCGTCCGTCCTTTCCGTTTATCAGCATCAAAAGTTCGAAGACGTCAATAAAATCGTTCAAAACACTCATTATTTAAACCCGTCTTCTATCTTCAATTTAACTGAACCTTTTATCTGAATGTTTATTGTTGTAATCAAACGTGAGACCCACCGCTTACATAAAATCGGGGTTTGGGTTAGATCCCGTGTAAATAACTGGCCCTTTTTGTCGAGAACGATTAGGACTACATTGTCTTGTGTGAAGATAAAGATATGCTTATGGTTTTAACTTTAAAATATTTGAGATAAGCTAGCCATTTCCCATAACATTGCTATTTTTGCTAACTTATTTTAAAGGCAGATGACACCGCTACTAAAGAAGGGAAGGTAAGTATTATGGATGTACAATTGAGATGTGTAAAACGCCAATTACAAATGTTTTTTAGAGTAGATATGACTTTGATGAAGGTGGCAAAAGGTTCATAGGTGAGGCGTGATTAACTCCGAAATTGATATGTGACGCGTGAATGAAACAGAAAGGAGTGCGCGAACAGCCTAAGATTTCCCTGAATATTTTTACACTAGAAGAGAGATTTGAAGTTTTTTTTATATGTATACATATACGTGATGCGTGAATTTTTCTGAAGTTTGTGAGGCGGGAAACTTTTTGCTACCTTCATAGATAAAAGAACTGAAGGAAAAATGGAAACAGACTTCAGGAAATGTAATTCAGTTACCAACATCACTCTCTCTCTCTCTCTCTCTCTCTTGGCTCTTCCTTGTCCCTGAATAGTCATTGTAGTTCCTCTTTGAGTTAACAAAGCTTTTTCCCTTTTTAGTTTTCATATTATCTAGTGGACACCCCTTTGGTGTATGAAAAAAAATGCTAACCCCTTTTCCCCAAACAATGACCAGCATCTTAATTCTCCTCACAATATCACCCCCGAATAAAACATTTAGGTCGCACAAATAAAGGAAATGATTATCAATGAAAGAAGCTTTTGATCGGTAAACAAATTCTCCTTGTCAGCACCTTAGGAAATGTATAGAAAACAGTATGGAGAATATGCATACTGATATCAGGGTGTAAATGGTTAAAATTTTTACTCCTCCTTTCAATCTGCAGAAGTTCTCTGACCAGCTGCCGCAATTACTAAACCAGCAGAATATTCTCAAAAGTTCATCAAGTAAACAGGTGAGTGAAGACCAAGAGATGTATCTTTGAAGGGGAAATACTTTGAATCGAGTCAAATGTAAATTTTGAAATTGTATTAGTCTTGGACTTTACCCAAGTCTATTGAAATTTCTGCTAGCCCGCGATTTCGTCAGTATCTTCGTTTCTTCATTATGCCATGCGCAAGAGACATCTTTTAGTATTGTGCTAGTCATGTGCGAGTTTTCTAGGTCTCTCCAACCGTTCGAGTGTACTTCCAGAGATATATCATGACGAGAATTAGTGATTCTCATTCATTGATGACGCATGAAAAACAAGGGTCTATGGAAGAAAATAAGAGAAAAAATTCAGGAGGATGTAGCCAGTTTGGTCAATCTACTTGGGCATCGTTTCAACCATATCATTGTTTCTTATTTTATGGCATAGACGAAGGATTAAATTTAATTTGCAATTTTTACTATGTGGTTTTATGATTGTCCGATTAGCGAAGAAACCGATAAATGCAAAACCGCTTTCCAGCAATCACGAACAGTACAATTTATTCGTAATTTCTTCCAATCCTGAAACACATCCAGGTGGAAAAAAGGTGTCAAAAATACTTACTCTATTCAAAACAAAATAATCATTTTCTTTTTCACGTTTATGCAGCACAAATGACGGAGAGAGGTAAATTCAATTTTTGCCGTTTTAAGTTCGCATAGATGTGGCATTTTATCTTCTTAATTGGAGATTCATCGGTTGAAGACAATGTTATGTGGGATCGGTGAAACTTTTTGTAAACTTTGAACAGGCCTTTACAATTAGTATTCTGATTGAAAGTCGCACAACTTTATAGTGGATCGATTTTGTGAAACCTCGCAAATGAGCATGTGTTATGTGTTCAATAAAGCGCGCTGATAGAATGGATAATGTAATTTCTTTTGTACCATACAGTATAGGTATATTTCTGTAGAAATCCTTACAGCACAGAAAAACTTAGAACACCTGCTTGTCTGGGGAATTGAAATGTGAAAATTAGTTATGTAGAACAAGAAAAGTTATTTATTTCACAAGCGATATTTAAGCCTGGAAAGGACGTTTAACTTGTCGATCTGAGTATACTTTTATCGATGTTGCCTTCGGAGTGTTTCATTTGCCAGTTAAGGTGTGTCTAGCTTGTATAGCCATTGTCAATCTTGTTTCTAAGTTTACGAAATTTTTAATGACTTGTTAATGGAACTACGTAGTTAAATGCGATGTTTTCAGCGCCCGGTAATTACAATCTCATGCGGGGTGCAAAAAAGAATTTTTTTTTTGAACCTACGCGTCGGACATAAACGAAGTTAAATCGGCCGAACTTGAAATGTCATGTTTTTTTTTTTGGACTGTGTTGAGTTACTTTTTTTTCGAATGTCGATCAGTCCTTAGCCACACTTCAATGGGATCCGAATATGAGCTCTTGAATGGGTTTCAATCGGAAAGGCGCCATTGAAACAGGTGGAAATTTCCTCGCCTGTTCCATTTGCCCCTCGCAAAGTTGAATAATTTATTACTTTAAACTACTCGGTAATCTCATCACCTTGGCAACATGTTTTTTCGCCTATAAGGAACAGATGTAGACTGAGTTGTTTTCACTTATCCGAGCAGTTTTGTTTCTTGTTCTGCTAATCATTTCAAACTCAAGCTGAGGTTCAGATTGTACACATTAACAAAATTATTCATTCATATTCGCCGAAAAAGAGTACTCGTCGTGCGATCTGATTTCTATCCGATCTTCATTCGAGAACCTTCTAACACGCGTGTCTCGCACATCGACCACAAGACAGACACACTTGAGTGTCGCTTATCCAGCGAGGTTTGGTATCATCAACGCAGACGTGTTGTAGCTTCATCATGGTGAAACAAGGACAGAAACCTGGCCAAAAGACAGGCATCTCAATTCAGAATACAAGTACGCTCACTCGAGGACACATGAAAATTAGAGTTTTTACGGGATTGGCGGGATCTCTGCAGTCTGTGCATCGAAAGAAGGTTGTATGAGTTAAAAGTGTTTCATCCTTAACGTATGATTTCCCCAGAACCCAGCGCTTTAATCTGTTCTCGTTTTTTTAGCATTTTTTTAGGACAGGTTCGAGGTGGTTTCTGTCGAATTGCGCTTAATCTGCTGGTTTTTTAGGCCGCAATAATTTCATAAATTTGTTTGCCTGGTATATGAGAAGTGTTTGATGAATTTGATGAAGTAAATAATTTAGCAAATATTTACTTAAAAGGAGAAAATAGATCGTGTGCCAAATTTCGGCGCTCCAACCCATTTCAAAGCTCTTTCAAATTCTCAGTTTAAGCCAAACAAAATTATAAGTGAAGTAAGTATTTCCTGGTTAGAAATTTTCAGGTATTGTAAAAGGTCTTTTTTGTTTTTTAACGCAAAATGTAAGGCCACTCGGTAAGATGTCTGCTGAAGATCAAACTAAATCTTGTTGCCATGATTGTTATTTTTTTTTCTTCTGCCCTGATAGAGTAATCAGTTTCTGCTAACAGATTCATTTCTCCATAAAATTTTCAAGGGTTTGGCGGTAATCGAGTGTTCATTGAACTATCCCGGAAAAAAAACCGAGAATATAAAACTCACAACGCGACGGGAAATTATCTAAATAATTTATTCTTAAATTTTGAGGAAATTGGCATTTTCATTCAGAGCCGTCGATCATGGTGAATTCGACTGCGTTGTCAGTGTCGCCTGAAATCTTCTATAATTTTTCCAAGAGTGGGACCATAAATTTTTAAAAGTTCAAAAGTGTCACGTTTTTGTTTATGTACGATTATTCTAGATTTATGGTTATCGCCAGTTTTTCTTCGACGTGGTATTTTCTTCGCTTTTTTCGTTTATGTCGGTTCCCTCTTTCTAGTGTGTTTCGAGATTGATTTTTTTCTTTTGTATTTTCCAATTTACATGTAGATCCTTTCTTTGCTTCGCGTTCTTTCTCGCAAAGATAATTCGCCCACTTTTTAATTCCAATCGTACTTTTCAACGTTTTCAATCAAAACAGATACCACGATTTTCGAGATATTACTTTCTCGGCACAGGCAATTGATGAGAACAGCTGCTTCGAGACTAAGATAACGCTGATATCTGACGCACGTATTTTTAAGGAAAATTGAAGTTTCTTGTTGTTGTTTTAAGATATGTGCTATCTACAGCCACCAATCTTTTTTTTCTGGTTAGACACGCAATTGCGGAAATCAAACCATGACTTGATATTTTTAGTTATTTTATTTTTCATTCGGTCAAGGCTAATTTATTTCAGTCATATCTGTTGGACCTTCAGTCTTCAAGACATATGAATTTGACTCACCCTGTGTAACCACTAAGCAAATTTTGTTATTTTAGAAATCTGGCAAGAATTCTCAACGTCACAAAGGCAAACGAATTAATTTTCATTCTCTCGGTTATTTTTAACCCGAGGCCCGAGAGGCCAGGTTATTGAGAGGATGCAACGAATTACAAATGTAGTTTCTTCTTCATCTTTTTTTAAGGGAAAAAAATAGTGAATTAAAAAAAAAAGTTTAAGGAGAAAAAGGTACAGCTTAACATAATCTCCTATTGTAGCTCGGCAACTGTCTCGGTAAATAAACGGAGAAAGACAATACATCTTTTGCTTTGCAAAGAAAATATTTTCTTTAGATTTATATAAGAGGCACACAGTTTGCTGGAAGATTGCGAACTGAACGCAAATATTGGAACAAAATTTTTGTATGTGAATCTTTGTCGAAATTGAAATCCACATCTGAAAAGAGATTCTTGTAAAATGTGGAATTAATCTACATTTTAAAAGCTTTTCTTCTTCCTATTTTTACTCAAACATTTGTTTCTAAACGAGTTCTTAGTTTTGGCTAGAGTTGATCTGAAGAATAAAAGCACCTCATCGAGTTTATTCTGAAGCAGATGTTCTTATTTCTCTGAGAAATTTTCATTGACAATGAGTGCTAAAAGTACTTCCTGAGACAGTTAACTCTTAAAAAGGTTTTTCTGTTGTCGCTTTTGAATCACGAGATTACGTTGAAGACTAATTATGTTTCCGATATGTACTTTTCTTGTAGATTTATAGTACAATATGCTGCTATGACTACAAGAGGAGTAAATTTTTATTGAGATAAATTACGCGTGGCTGCCAACTAACATTTGTTAATGGAACTGCCCTTTCCGTTTTAAAAACAGGTTTATTTTCGTCCCATTTTAACTCCCTTAACAGCTGTTGAAATGAAAAAAGGTTGTAAAGGCTCACACGAAATTATGTCCATGACTAGGTCTTTGTTCATAGCTAGGAAGAGAGAGGAGAGGTGGGTCATAGCTGGGGAGAGAGAAGGAAAGGGGGGGAGCTGGAGAGAGGGAGGGAACGAGGTTCAAAGTTGAGGAGTGATGGGAGGGGGTCATAGTTGGAGAGAGGGGGGGGAGGGTTAAAGCTAGCGAGAGAGAGAGAGGAAGGAGGGTCGAACTGGGGAGAGGGAAGGGAGGGGGGTTCAAAGCTGGAGAGGGGGAGAGAGAGAGAGAGGGAAGGAGTTTCAAAGCTGGGGAGAGAGAAGGAGAGAGAGAGAGAGAGAGAGAGAGGGAGGGGGTCAAAGCTGGAGAGAGAGAGAGGGAAGGAGTTTCAAAGCTGGGGAGAGAGGGAAGGGGGGATCATAGATGGGAGAGAGAGGGGGGTCATAGCAAGGGCGAGAGAGGGGAGGGGGGGTTGAAGCTGGGGAGAGAGCGGGGAGGCAGGGTCATAGTTGGGGAAAGAGAAGGGGGGTCAAAGCTCGGGAGAGAGAGAGGGGAATTCAAGAGCTAAGCACCTGTTTGTTAAGAAGTGAAAAATCATATTAGGCAATTTGTCTTCTCCTACCCCTTACGGCTTTACCGGGAAATGCTGTCGAATCCCTACTTTGTCGGACCAAGATCCAGTGATGTGTTGTTCACCTTTTGTGAAGTTATACCTGATATTGATGGTCATTGGAAATCGCTAACGTATGCCGTCCGTTGTGTTGACTATCATTGCAGGCGCAGAATCTTAACTTAGGTGAATTCAGCAAACAAGGATCCAAGAGACACTCAACTCTCATGTAGGGAAATAGTGTTGTTTGTATGTTAATGCTATTCGCTAAATTATTGTTTGAAAGCATTCTAATAGACGTTGTCTATTAGATGGCTGTTTCTCAATAATCAGTCAAAGAACCAAGCATTGTGGTCAAAAGCTATTGAGACGCATTCACTATCATGCTCAAAAGCCCATATATATAGTGCTTGTATTTAAACTGTTGTGGAAATTATTCTCTCAAGAGTTATGGTTTAAGGGTTTAACTGACGATGGTTTTTCGTGCTTTTTGCCTCTAGAACCAACAGCGAGAATGAATCTTTCACCCGCATTCGCCGAGATCCTAACGGGCACAAACTTCCCATGTCACCAAGTGGTAAGATTCTACGCTTTGTTTATCTACGATCAAGCCTTCTTTTTCTTTCGTGGGAGAGCATAAGTTCAACTTAATATTCCCGCTGCTCCTTACAAATGAACGCCTTATCGCAGGTTTTGTTTTATTTATGACATATTTCCCTTTCTCGAAATGAAACCGAAACATTTTTGACTCGTTTATTGATTAAATATGAGCTTAATCACAGATGCGCCGATTTTCAAACTCTATTTCCAGTTGCCATTAAGAACTACGGGGATAAGATGTCCACATTTGAGCAATCAGAAATCCTGGATTTCCCAGACGTATGGTTTCTTGGTTTGGAGGCGAAGAAGATAGAAGGTGTGCCGGGAGCTCCGCAAAATAATGGTACGTCATTCTCGTCGAAAGTCGAGTGCGTGATTCATGCCGTATAAAATCTTCGGATTCGGGCGTTTTCGTTACCTGAATTATTAGGTCTATATGTTCTTAAATTGATAAGAAAAATCATTTTACTAAGGGAGGGGGCTGCTAGCCAAGCACCTGCACAAAATACTTGTTTATAAACGCGTGTCATAGCATACTGCACGATGTAACCAAGCTGTCATCCCCACAAGAGTTCTCCCCAATTCATCCGCCATATTTAACAATCGGTCTGCCCTCTATAACCCTTTCACTCCCAAGATCTCATTCTTAATTCCCCTTTCTGTCTGTTATACAATTCTTATGATGTCAGTTCAGAGAATGTGGTATTAGATCAACTAATAATCTTTAAGTTATATTTTTCTCTATTCTCATCACTTGTCTGCTGAATATTGTATTGATATAGTTAGGAGAAATTCTGTTTTAGTCAGTGATGGGTGTTAAAGGGTTACTAAGATACATGCTCTCCCTAGACTCCTAAGGGCGGGAAAACGGCACGAATTTTGCAAATCGAATGCCCACATTACTCGTCCCAGTGCTTCGCATATTCACGATCAAACACGAGTTGAAATGGCGTAGATGAGGGAAAATTTAAGGCGGACTTTGTCTGTGAAAATTATTTCTTCAGGGTACGATGACGAGAATGGCAGCTACCTTAAAGCCTTACACGATCACCTTGTGTACAGATATGAAGTGCTGGAGGTCCTGGGTAAAGGTTCCTTTGGTCAGGTGGTAAAAGCCCTGGATCATAAGACGGGACAACATGTTGCTGTTAAAATAATACGCAATAAGAAGAGGTATGACAGCGAAGAATTACTTTCGCGGTCAGATCGTTGGTTTTCTTGTTTTCATATCAGTTCCTTCAATAAAATAGCAGGCGGTTAGTTTTAAAGGCGTTCACAGCCTCTTGCTCCCCGGAAGGTTCGGATTCCACTGGGAAAATTTGAAGTATGTAGACTCTTGAAGAAGTAGAATTATCCTGCACTTTGAGGAATTTTTCACTTCAATTTGCTTTGTTGTTCCTCGAAGTCAACCAGTTTGAACAAATTAGAAATTAGAGTGCAGTGAAGTTTGTGTGAATGGATAGCCAGTGCATTACAAACGGGTAGATCTGGCTGCTACCTGGCTGCTTTTTGAACCCCTCTCACTTCCTACCTTGTATCTAGGGTCTTTTTTATCCAGCACTCGCCCTTGTCAAGAAAACCCACATCCCTTAACTAATTAAAAATACTTCTGTGTTTTACAGATTTCACCAACAAGCTCTAGTTGAGGTTAAAATTTTAGAACACCTACGTAAAAAGGTCAGTATGATCTCAGATGTCAATCTACGAGGTTGAAAACTATAATAATTATATAATTACGTATTAGAAATTTGAAATGTTGCATTATTTACTTTGCTTTGCATTTTTTCCGCAGGATAAAGAAAACAATTACAATCTCATACACATGATTGACTATTTCTACTTTAGGTAAGTGCGCATGCAACTCTTTCACACTCGGGGCCGATTTCATTCTTGAATGAGGGGCGTTTTTCAGTCCTCGTATCATTTTTTTAGATTTAAAATGTCAATTCTCTTCACTGTTGGCCATACATATCTTATAATTTCAGCTCTGAGAATGTGGTGGTTAATGAAGCACTATCCCCTTGTTGACATTTTTTTTTCCATCAACTTTCGGCTTGTGAATGTATGGATATTGTAAGGAGAAATTCATTTTTTGGTCACTCCTGAAAGTGAAAGGATTAAAATGTTGAAATGGAGTAGTAATACCCCGTATTACTTCTGAGGAGAGCTGGGGTGGAGTTGGCTCAGCTCGGCTCGGCCCGGGTGAGGCTTGGGTGGGGTGAGGCTCGGGTGGGATGAGGCACTTGCCTCGAAAGATGTTTTCACTTTTCTAAAATGAGTTGTTTTTCTTTTAGGAATCATTTGTGCATAAGCTTTGAACTCATGGGGTAAGTCTCAAGTTTTATTAACCTTTGATTTGTATTCTCGTTCTGATTCAAAAGCACGGCCTTTTTCTGATGTCGAAAGAGCGCGGACCCTGTAATCATTGACGTTCTAAGTTTATGTTAAGTTCAGTCTTTTGTTAAGTAGAGAGAGAGAGAGAGAGGTGTTTATTTAACTTCTTGCTTGACCGACACATTTTATAAATCAATTTTGCAGCATGAATTTATATGAATTGATAAAGAAAAACAATTTTCAAGGATTTAGTCTCGCTCTGATAAGAAGGTGAGTTATATTAATCTTTGTGTTCAACAAAATGATTTTATGATTGATGACATGTTGTGTATGATTTTATTATTTCATGTGATCTTTACTGTTATATCTCGCTTTTTGCATTTTATGCTATATATTTCATGAATTACATTGCATATTTCTCCAAGTGTATAACAAATTTACATTTAGCATCCACCGTTTCATTTTTCTCTCGTAGCATTTTTCATTTTACATTTTGCAGCTCACGTTGTTGTGATATTGGAGTAATCTCCAAAGTGGTGCATTAGTACTGATGTGATTTTTAGATAAAACCTTTTTTTTTTTTTCATTTCAGGTTTGCTTATTCCTTACTTCAATGCCTAAGAGTTTTGGACAAGGAGAAGATCATTCACTGCGATTTAAAACCGGTAATGTATTTATTAAACCACACTCACTTTGATGGTTTGTCTCTCTGTTCGTTTGACTGTTGTTCTTAATGTTGTTTTTCAATTACTTCCACTGATGTTTGTTTAATATTTTTTAATTTATAGGAAAACATTTTGCTACGACAAAGAGGGCAAAGCTCCATTAAAGTAATAGACTTTGGTTCGAGTTGTTATGAGCATCAAAGAGGTAAGGTATAAAAGAAAAGGTTCAAAATATGTCGCGAGTATGGGACAAAAAAAGTTTGATTTTTTTATAAGGATTCAAACGCCAGTTGGTTCCCATTTCACTAACTGAGCTGCAAATTTCACATGGGTTAGCAATGTTTTACACTATTTTTATGTGTGAGACGCGTCCTGTACAAAGCGTGTGATGAAAGAGAGTAAGAAAATTAGTATTCAGACAATCTAATGTTCAACTTTGGTATCAACGTCCGTCCAGTACACCTTGCAAGTTAAGACCATAATTGTCACTTCCTTTCACTTGAATTAACCAATCATGGCTGGCAAATCTCCATTGGTGGGCGGACGCATTACACGGACTAGCTCTTGAATGATGATTCTTTGAGAAGTATATGTTTATATAGGGAAAGATGTTTTTTCGTCTTGTCACGAGCGTGGGACAAAGAAAAAATTCTGAGTCCCCATGAGGAATCGCTCAGACGATCCGCTCCGATGCTCTAACGACTGAGCCACAGAGACTCCACGGTGAGCGAGGTCTATTACGAAGTTCATATGACACGCGTCCTGCATACTGCTAAGATCAGCAATGTACATGTTTATATAATTTATATATATACCCGTTTTCAAAAATGTTTATTTTTTTAATTTTACAGTGTACACGTACATACAAAGCCGTTTCTATCGTTCACCCGAGGTCATTTTGGGTAAGCTAAATATATATATATATATATTTTTTTTTTTCGCAAGAATGTCGTTAGTTTTGTCTCACTGAATTCAAATTATCTTTTAATTCAGTCATTTTGGCCTTCATGGTTACTCAGGGTTTGGTTTCACGACGCTCATCGAAATGCTCACAGACGAGGAGTTTTTATGAGTACTGACTGCAACATTAAAATAAATATGTGAATCCACTTAATAAGAGAAACGAGAGCACTGAAATTCTCGGAGTAAAAACTTGGAGCAAATGTCCCTTTGAATACCAAACAGCTCGATGGGGAGTCTAACGTGTTACTTACTCGGCAGCATTGATTCACCACCTCTTCTTCTTCTTTCATTGCTTTTCTTTAGGTATTCCTTACAACATGGCGATTGATATGTGGAGTTTTGGATGTATTCTTGCTGAACTCTACACTGGGTATCCTCTGTTTCCCGGTGAAAATGAAGTAGAACAGTTAGCGTGTATAATGGAGGTGAGGTTTTTATTTTTTTGTTTGTTTTTGTTTTGTTTTGTTTTTTTTTGTGAGTAATGGTCCAGATTTGAGAAAACCTCGAACTCTTCTTTCCGTTGGTGTCAATCCTTTGAGTTCAGCATGTAGTTTCTCCTGACAATTTCCATACTCTATCCAGCAAAAAAGGTTAGGAGAATAGATAAACCAATCAGTTAGAGAATCTTACTTTGTTTGAACGCCAGGTTCTCTTAACTAAGTTTCAACTAAATGTATGTAAGTAAGTTAAGAGAATTGCTATTCTAATCGTACCTAAGTGAAGCACAAGGGACCGCGCAGAGGGAGGGGCTGGGGGGGCTTAAGTCCCCCCACTTTTTTGCAAGAATAAAAATAAATTAAACAAAAAATAATTTAACAAAAAATTTTCCTTCACGCATTCTTCTTTAGCCCCCCACTCGAAAACTTGCTGCGCGGTCCCTGAGCACAGTCTTGTCCTTCTTCTGCATCCCGTTTGGTCCATGCCAATTGTTAAATATAAAAGGTTTTTTTTCATCTTTCAACAGATTTTAGGCAAACCACCACCAAGCGTATTGGAGCCAGCTTCAAGAAGACGGATCTTCTTCGGTTAGTATTCCTGTTCTTTGGTATGTTGTATATTTATGCGTTCTGTATTGATTCCCAGTCGACCTCGTTGTTCAGTAATGAATTTGTACAGTTACAACTTGGTGCTTGAGGGGAGTGAGGGAGGAGGGGATGGGGGTGATCTGCAATGAACTGGTATTCCACCATAGAGAATTTGTAACACTCCCAGTGGCTTCATGCAATGGAAACTTCTCTGAAGGATGAAGCGCCCATGATAATTTCTGCACCTCTCTCAACGGTTTCATTGTCCGCCATTGGTAAGACTGACGAGTTCCTTGATGTAATTTCTTGCGATGATTTGCAACTCTCTGGTGCCGATAAAAACCGTTCAGGCACAGCTACTGTTTTTTGTTGAGCTTGCGTTCATTTTGATGTTTAGATTCCAAAGGAAACCCACGCAGCTTGACGAACTCCAAAGGAAAGAAACGACAAGTCAATGGCAAAGAACTCAATGCAGCACTGAAGACAAACGACGCCTTGTTTGTGGACTTTATCAGAGGCTGCTTAGAGTGAGTACGATTTTTTTTTTCTAATCATAGTCGAATTCAAATTATTTTTATACTATTAACGTCTTTCTGCACCAGAAAGGAAGTGTTTCCATAATGATACGTTTTCAAAATTCTCCAGTTTTCCGATTGTTGTCGTAAATCTTCGTTTTCAATAGCGTTTTTCACTCCTCTACTCTAGAAACGAAGCGTTTCAAAATACTCCTCCTTGGAAACCATTTGCAAAAGCATTTGTTTTCAAACTAAATCGAATCTTTTTTTGTCCATAGGGTCCAAAATTCTAATGATATCAGGCGTCTTTATCTCATGTCTATGAACGACCATCCCTTAGTTAAAGGTTTGAAGTTCATTTTTTTTTCTTTCCAATTCTCAGATGGGACCCAGCAGCTCGTTTGACCCCTGATGAAGCTTTCCAGCATGAATGGATACAAGAGGTAAGGACGCTCTAGAGATCAAGTTTCACTTGCGACGAATATGTATGGAGTTTGACCCTGTTTCATAATGCCTATATGGGGTCGTAGGCAAGAGATTGCACCCAAGAGGTCGCGAAGGGAATGGGAAGGAGCAAAGGCCCCTCGCTCGATCAAACGGAGAAAAGCACCAGCGAGCGAAATCCTTCAAGCTCCCGCCGGTTTTTCTAGCTCTCTCCTTACTCTGTCGTGGGTGGCTATTTTTTCCTTTGTTCGTTCTTTTCGTGTTTTCTGATATTTGATTCCCTTACAGATATTGTTCGGAAAGAACGCGAGGAACGCGCGCGAAAGAACCAACTGCGAAGAACGCGCGCGAAAGAACCGACTGCGAGGAACGCGCGCGAAAGAACCGACTGCGAGAAAGCGCTCGGGTCACCTCTTCGGTGCGCCGGTCTACATCAGTCGCGGCTAGTTTAACTGAGAGCTTACTACTCAGACAAGTTGGCGTTCACAGTGACCTTATTTTTTATCATTATTGTTATATATTTTATATTTATTTTTTATTTATTCATTTATTTTCATTATTTACTTTTATCTTTTCTTTTTCTTATTTGATCCTGTTCAATATATTTTTATTCCGGTTACAATTTGCTCTTGCTCTAGGGACGTCAAAGACATCGCGGGACATCTCGCCTCACTTCCCGACAGAAGGCCACCACGGATGCGCACAATCCTTCAGAGACAATTCCGAAAGGACCTACCACAATTCCTGCAGAGGCCAGCAAAGGGCATGCTGAAGGTGGCTTGATGAAACGAAGTGCACGAACGCGAGAAAGATTACAACCTATCGGAGCCGACGCCTCGCATACGGTTCACCATGACAGTAACAACAATATCACTAAGCCGGCGGAGACTGGGACCGAGACAAAAGGAGCAGTGGCACCGCTGACGAAGAGAATCACTACAGAGGTCGTGAAGGAGAAACCTGGAACAGCTAATAAAGCGAATGATATTGAAGAAGATAGAACTGAAGAAATCAGTGTAGTAGAAGGGGGACAATTCTTACCTCCTATCAAATGAGAGAATGGATTTAAGTCTCTTCAGCGAGAGGGGATATGCCTTAGATTTTAATTGCGATACCACATTGGATGTATCGAAATTGAATTTGACCCGCGAGCTGCGAATTCTTTGACTACAGACCTTTTTAATCGGAACTGATTTTAAGACTGACTTTTAAACTGAGGGTTATTTTCTATCTGTGATTTTAATTTTTTTCTTTCATACATTAATATTTTATACAGACAGAGCGCTAGTTAACTGGTACATCGTTTTTGGTATAGTGAATGAGGTAATATTACAACAGTGTTTTCTATTTTCGTACCACGACTTTAATTGGTTCTTGTATATATGAAAATATCTCATTTTAAAAGGATCATGATCAAAGTTTCACCAAAAAAAAAATCGTTCATAAATTGTACTTTGGGTTTTTACCCCCGCGGGAAACATTTTCCCTCGTTTGACATAAAAATTGTAAGGAAAACTTCAAAGATTTTGAAAGAAAATGTTCATAACATGTACAGAAATTTTGCAAGGAAAGAAGCGGTATTCATATATTTCTTTTCCAACTGAATTATCAGAATCTTTCAACTATTAATGTGGAAATAGTTTCGAAGACAGAAGACTTTTTTGCGTTAACCAGACAATCCAGTAAGGACAGAAATGTATAGGTGTCTTTAGGAAAACGTTGTCGCCGTTTGGAGTTTAACAGAGTGAAATTATTTATTTGTCTGTAAATTGAAGGACAAAAAAAAAGTTGTATATTTAATTTTGATATACGAGTGCTTGGATATTTAATTCACAAGATGTGTTTTAATATATTTGATGAGTTGTGTTAATATATTTTTATAAATTATTTATGAGAGAAAGAAAATTGCAGTGAATATTTAAGTGTGGTATCAAAACGGTGTGTCTTGAATTACGTGGTTATTTTCCTAGCTCGAAATCCATTAATATATTTAGGATGCAGAAGAAAATCCTTGGGTTTGTTTTAAGGAGAAAAATATTGTAAATTTCTTAAGCCCTAAATGTAATCAGAAATTTAATTCTTCTTGTGATGTTAATACGTTATGAAGCAAACTGAAGTACATGTTAAATTAAATTTCATCCACGACATGCATCGTTCATAACTGTTCACTGTCAGGAGTATTTGAAAACTGGCAGATCTTTGTACGCTTAAGGTTATCTTCGAATACGATTATGATCCCCTGCCCTTTTTAAACTAAACAGAGAATTTTCTAATTGTAAAAAGAAATCTTTATCTGAGTGGAGGATTCTCCGTGGAAATATCTTGTTACGTGCAGGATTCAATAAACTGGCTGACCGCGATTATTTGTCTAGTGTGAAGGGAGAGGGAGACGCAGTAGCTTTGTAGCTAGTTCGTAGGGCTCTGCATGATGGGAGACTGGGCTCAAACTATCAAACGCGTTTCACAGTAGCATGGTGGCGGGCTTCCTCCTAAAGGCCATTAACATTAAGTTAGCTCTTATACATCCAATCTCATTTATTTCTTAAGTTGTCAGCTCTGAAAAGAGGGTAACGAAAGGCCTTGAAATATGGTTGAAATTTTGATAAGAGAGATCCCTGTGCTCGGTTTAAAGTCACGCGACATCACTGCAGTCACGCTTGAGATCGCGATTCTGAAGTTATGGATTAGTTCAAAACAGTGATTTTGGAATGGCCGAAGAACCATTCAGCATCCAGAAGGTGCAGGGATACGACAATGTTTATTTGTTTCGGGAGAGGTTCTTTGATTCTCCAAATCAAGCTAACATTTGGCTGGTCAAAGGCACCGAGAAAGATTTGGTAATCGACACAGGGATTGGATTGTGGAATCTCCCTGACTTTCTCAAACAACAAAGTTTGATCGGCGACAAACCTGTGGAAGCCGTCGCTACTCACATTCATTTTGATCACTCAGGAGGACTTTATCAGTTCGAAAACTTTGCCATTCACAGCCGGGAGGCCGAAGCCATTCGCCACGGCAACAACTACGAAACAGTCTCGATTTTTACAACTACGGCGGAGATTTCCGTTCCCCCTCACGAGGGATGGAACATTCAAGACTACCATGTGAAATCAGCTCAGCCATTCGAAGTTTTAGAAGAAGGATATGAATTTGATCTTGGAGACCGAAAATTGCGCGTGCTTCATTTCCCCGGTCACTCTCGTGGCAGTATCGGGTTAGTGGATGAACAAGCACGGGTATTGTTTAGTGGTGACACCATGTATGATGGATATTTAATCGACTGGCTCCCTTACAGCGACATTACTGCCTATGTTCAGACGTGCAGAAGACTACAAGAACTATCAAGCCAAGTAGATACAGTTTTTCCCGGCCATTTTAACTCTTTTGATGGGAAACGACTCCATTCATTAGCTACTGATTACATCTCCAGGGCAGGGACTTGTCACAAAGTTTCTTCAGCTCTAATGAAGGGTGTTGCCTCTATGGTGTTGAAAGCTAAACATTCTGGTAACATTCCTGCAAAGTTTTGTTACCACGCTTGCTGCTGCTGCTGCTTCCTGGTGTAAATTTAGTCAGCCTACTGGGGTAATATACAAATCTCCCTTCTCCCCAACTCCACCCAGAAAAAGGTGTAGTCCCCCTTTACAGGTGATAGAATTTCCCTTTCTATTTTAGGGATTAAATTTGTGAATTTCTGCTTGCTTTTGAGGCTGCATTAACCTAAAATGACAACAACTAGTGCTGTAGCAGTACCTCATAGAGGTCTGAGGTTGTCAGAAAAATGGTTTAAACTGTAATTAGAGAAACTTCATCAAATTGCCTCTCATTTTAAAGTTTTCGCTGCTATTAGCTGTTTGAGAATTGTTTCCTTTCAGAGATGAAAACAGATTTAGGCCATGCCCACAAAACAAGATTAGACTTGGCTTCAACTGACTCACAGCTAAGATCTAAAATTCAGTTCTCCTCACTGTCTATCATACAATTCTTAGTATTTCAGTGTTGAGAATTTGGTGTTGAATCCAACCCATTTTCACTAATTTATGTTTTTCCTTCTCCTTTTAACCTTTCTGCTTGAAAATGTTGTGAAATTGTAAGGAGAATTCCTCTTTGGTCACTCCTGGTGAGTGAGGAGAGTGAGTGAAAGACTTAAAAAGGCTTTTTGAAATTTTCTTAAAGATGCCCTGATATATATCAATGGGAGAGCATCTTCCAGTGACAGGAACTCCTTATAGGACTGGCGCTTGAGTGAAATGTGCTTGTTAGATATATAGTTTCGCTGGATAGTTTATTGATAACTACTTTGGAACCAACAACTGAATTTTACGGTTACTACGAAAAGATGATATTGATGATTACATTAATAGGACTACCCATAGTTTAAAACAAGTTGGTTTAAAAATGTTTGTAAAATATGTTATGTTTGTCAATAAAATGTGTCGAAGAAATATGGAAGTCTAGTAAAATCATTCAGGCCTTTAGTGCATTAAAAGTAACAAAACTGTTACCAGATCTGTTTGTCTTGAAGACAGGCCTAAACTTCCATATGCTTCTTAGGTTCAAGGTAACTGTGTCACAAGCAAGGAGGAGGTTACGGACATTTTTCTGTTCCCTCTGTATGAGGCCTAGTATTTTGGCACTGGCAACTAGATCAATCAGTATTAACCACAACTGGATCAAATAAAGTGGTGTTGTTAATGTTGCTACTTCATTCCCAGACCCCAAACTTTATTGTAATCTCTCTTGTCAATTACCATTAAACCATGAACACCTCCATTGCAAAATATTTCTTGATTGTAAGCATCATCTTGTTTTTTCCTCTCTTATTTGTGGCCAACGCACTCTTAACCCTTTAACCTCCAGAAGTGATAAACATGTAACTTCTCCCTATAATATCCATTCAATTATCCAGCAAACAGGTAGTGAGAATACTCAAACTTGTCAGGAAGAGGTTGTTCTCTTGATCTAACACCAAATTCTTGTAACGAATTTAAAAGGAAATGTGTAGCAGCTAGAAGGGGGAAACAACAATCAGATCTTAGGGTTTAAAGGGTTAAATAGTTTATCAATTAGTTCCTGATGGCTGTCTGAAAGTTTAAGTAAGCCTGATTCAACCAATGCTCCATTATATCAGCAAAAAGATAAAAATGACATGCATAGCCTGCACTTTTACTACTCCTTCCAGTCCATTGGAGAGGTACATGGGGAGACTGTTCTAAAAGACAGAACAAGCATACTCTGTGACAGGGACAAATGCAAGAGTAGAAAAACTGAACTAGCTCGCAAGTACAAAAACCAGAGAGTTTATTATACAAGCACTTCTTGCCTTTCTTGATAATGGAGTCAATGTGACAGTTCATTTCATATCACTGGTGATGTTGAGGCCTAGTATTTGGCACTGGCAACTAGATCAATTGGCACATCACTAACAACAACTGAATCAAATAAAGTGGTGTTGTTAATGTTACTACCTCATTCCTAGACTCCAAACTTTATTGCAGTCTCTCTCGGGTCAATTATCATTAACCATGGACACCTCCATCGCAAAAATATTTCTTGATTGTAAGTATTGTCTTGTTTTTTTCCTCTCTTATTTATGGCCAACGCACTTTGTGCTCAGGCCATAAAATGCTAAATACCAGCAGAAAAAACTCAGTCTGTACCTCACAGTGTGCACCTCTAACTTGGCTAGTAAGAGGTATGTTATCATGACAGTAATAGTAAAAATAATGGATTTCATCAGTGGCATATCCCCAAAGTGGCTCTTTATTCACTGTTTCTAGGCCAAAATTGGAACCTGGAGCGTTGGTTTATGGCGTAGAACACTGGACTGGCTGTAGTATGATTTTGTGGTGTAAAAAATCAAGGCATAGAATAATTGGTTAAATGTTTAATCTGTTTCTTTATATGAATACTTTCACTTACAGTCAAGAGTTAAAACAAGTTGGTTGAACCTTTTGATCTAAAGTGACTAGCATCTAATTTCTCCTCACAATATCACCCCTAAATCAAACATTAAGGTCATGAGAACAAAGGAATTGATCACCACTTATGGAAGCTCTTCGTTGTCAAACAAATTCTCTTTGTCAGCACCTCAGGAAATGTATAGAGAACAGTATGGAGAATATGCATACTGATGTTAGGGTGTGAAGAGTTGTTGCTAAGTTGCACTTAGTTAACATTTTAAGAGATTTAATGTAAGAGGCCTATAAATTAATTGTTGGAAAAATCCAAATTTCCTCTACACGAATTCAATAACCAGTATACTAAGTAATATGTCAGGAAACTTCTAAACAAAAACTAAGTGCAATTATTACCATTTATATATTCAGTCTCCTACTCCTTTTTAAAAAAGGCTGACCTTTCAACAGTACTGCCTCTCTATCAGATGAAAGTGTCAACATTGATGTGGGCATTAACCAGTTCATTGAGATTGACCCTTCTACTCTGAAAATCACAGCACTATTTTTGCTTGATGATACAAAGAGTCTCATCAAAAATGGTTTACATTAGTCAGCTCTACCCTTATCTTTTTATTGGCACTATCGTGTATAACAAAATTTACATGATGGTCTAAAGCTCAAAAGTAAAGCTAAGTGGTACTTTGGTTTATTTCTTCACCTCCTTCTCCAGAACAGCCAGTGTAAGAGAATGGGATTGATAATCGTGAAAGTAAAGAAAATCATTTTTGACCAAAATCCAACTGAGTTGTGTTCAACATTTCTCTCCAGTTCATTTACTCTGCTATTTAGACGTTGCATCTGCAGGATTAATTTTCTTGAGTCAGGTGAGTCGCCTCCCAAATAATGGCCAATATCACTGTCACTTTCTAGGGTAGTTCCTTCTCCTATCACCTCAAGACCAACAGCAATGCTGTAGAAAGAATGAATTCAGTTCAGAATGAAAAACCATGCAGGGTGATATGGTTTACTTTCTATCCAGTGCTAAATGGGGTTTAGAAGGGGGGAGTGGGGAAGAGGAGAAGAGGGGCAATCAAATGAATGCCTCTCCTCTTTGCAGACAGAAAGCAATAATATGTGATTGTAAAATAGCATGGTATCCCAACAAATACCACTTAAACAACACCAATAGCCTCCCTCCCTTCCCCCTGTCCGAAAAATCTTCGCTGCACTGTTGTCAAACATTTCAGCTGCTTAATTGTAACTTTAAATAATGATAAAATTGAAATTATGCTATAAAAGCACCTACAACAAACAAGGTTTAAAAGTGATGGATATATAAAACAAAAATGACTATTATGGCTAAAAAACATAATTCTTCGATCGACTGTGTCGATGGCTAGTGCTATTTACTAGTAAAACCTAGAGAATACTCATCTTTTAATCAAGGATTAAATATGAGAATCTCGATTTCAAAATATCAAGAAGAACTAATTTGATAGATTTTCAAACAAGCAACGTGTATGACCATTCTCTAAGCGGAAAAAAGGTAGAAAAAGACGTCGGATCTTGATCGAAAACCAAAATATCTAATATAATTAATTCAAACACACCTTTCATCGTCAATGTCTCTGGCGGCATTCGTTCTGCGATTTATGTTTCCACGAGCTGCTGTTGGCGAACCACTTACAGGCGCGGTTCTAGTTTGAGGATAATGCGCTGATTTTGTATCTTCAACGGTCAGTGTTCGTGGAGGAGTTATCATGCTACTCAAAGGGTTGACTGCCACCATTTCATCTTTTAAATCTCTCGGAATGTCACTTTTGGGCGAGTACGAACCAAGTTCAATTCTGTCAGGGATCGACATGGGCACTCTATCGCTGAGAATCTTTTTCGGTTCGTTCAGTAAGTACTCTTCGTCACCCCCTTGTACAGTGATTGTCTGAGGGATCCTCATTTTTTGAGAGAGATCTCCGTCGAGTCTTCCGTCATGAAAGTCAAACGGTATGTTTGAAGACAACTCAGAAGACACCCCCGCCATTTTGTTGATTTCAAACGGATCTGACGACCCAATACATGCTGGTCAGCCGTATCTCTAAAAACTTTCACGTCTTTCGTCGCAAAACATGTTACAACGTGTTAAATATCATCTCAACATAATGATTTATTCAGAGTAATTACCAACTGCCGTAACAAGGCGTACCCAATAAGGCCTTTAGCACCGAGTGAGCTTCAACCAATTATTTTTGTGTCCAGCAAGCGCGAATGGAATAACTATTTTACTCAATTCCATCAAATCCTGGATATTTGGGTATTTGGAGCATTTTTCAGCTCTGCCACAGTTTGCTGCAACAGTTGGTGCATTGCATTTTCATATGAGGTGACTCGGAATGTGAGCTGATAGCCGGGGTTGAATGAACCAATCAGAACACTAGAAATGCATCATTTGGAGTAAAAAATTTTAAAAACGTGCAATAAACAAAAGATTTAGGGCTAAATTTCCGCTGCAACAATTTGTTTTGAGCGCGGTTGTAACTTTAATGGTCGAACTCCGTGTAACAACCGCTTCTATATAATACACTCTTTTAATAACTAGACTTCCTGACAACTACAAACACGTGGCGTTCTTTTTTTTCAAAACGGTATACGCATGCACAAACCGAACTACAATTGTCGGAGCGGTGGACTGGATTCTACAGTCCGTATGCCAAAATTTGGGTGTGGTTACGATGGAAATCTGTGAGTCCGATGGAGAACTACGACCCCTTCAACTTTTTCCGTGTTTTTTTGTTGTTGTTGTTGTTTTTTTTTTTTACGCAGCTGCTTCTCATTGACATAGTAAGTTAGGTCAGCACAGAAGTAGGCCTCAATCCTTAATTGTAAGTGGACTAATCTTCATTCTATTTTCAACCATGCGACATCAGTTTCCCATGTCTTTATTTGTTTCCTTTCTTCCATTCCACCATCATTCATTTTCTTATTTCACTTTCGTTGATAAGAGTGTTTTCTTCCCGTTTTTCAGGGGTAGAGAGAAAACACAAGGCTGGCATAAAAGGTAAGTCACGTTCCAAAGGAGGACGCGTTAATCCATGTTTTCGCTTCACTCGCCCGAACAAGGCAAAACAGGAACCGCCTTTTCTTTAAGCTAGACTGACAGTTTTTTCTTAAGAAAACAGAGAAGTCTGATTATCCATCTTACAAGTCAATACCTATGGGAAGCTTAATCAATTGGATATTGATATTGACAGGCCCTCTTTTGCGTTGCGGGATGAGCCGCGGTGATGCCCGTGACATTCGAGCCAACGAGCGAAGCCAGCGTGCGAGAGGGCCCCCGGCTTGGCTGTAGTCTCGATGTCTCCACCGTTCGAACCACAACGCAAATTGTCCATTGTACAGTTTTGTGCTTGGTTTCCAGGCCTTTAAACAAGAGTGAGGCCAAGGTTGACCTTACTATAATACAAACCTTGCCGCTTTTAAAATAAAAATTACTTTGTTATCACGCTGACTAGATACAGGTCTCTATCACAACACAGTTACCATCAGCCTCACTCCTAATCAAAGGCTTGGCAACTAAGTACACAACTGTAAAATGGCCTATTAGAACGTTATGTAAATTCGTAGTGTGATGGGCTCTTTTTTAAATTCTTGCACCAACAGTTTTTCAGTTGTGGCGTTAAAGGACCTGATCCTATCAACGCTTCCATTTTCAAAGGATATCACAGCTTCTTGTTATAGATATCAATGACATAAAAAAATTCAAGGTGGCGGGGCTGTTGTAAAAGCGTAATTGCATTTCCAGGGTAATATTTCTTCACACTACCTGGAGAAGAAGAGGGTCTCTAGAAACTTTTTGATGGTCCTTCTGACCCTTCGCTTGGTCCAGGCTTCGTCTTCCTTAAGAAGACCATGATAGTACCCAGACTTTGCACTACAAAAAGTACGAGACTAAGGCTTTCAATCTGCACACGGGAAAGAATATTAGGAAGATTGTTGAAATGGTTTTTGATTTAAGTATTTAAAGCGATCAGAGATTGTACCGGTTCTAAATTACTAGGTTCTATGACTGCGACCTCTCTTGGTGTATTTTTAAAAATATTCCGTGTTCTTTAGATCAGGACCCCCTCCCTCCCTAAACGGCGATTCAGGTCCCCCCTTGTATCACGCGTTAATGCGAAACATGCAACACAAAACGGATGTAGCTAAATGAAAAGCATGTAACACGAAAAGCAAGTAACAAATGATTGAATACTTTATTGTGCATCGGATTAGAAACAAAATTTTGACAATACACTTGGCGTTCAAAAGGAAATTTCAAAAATGCTTAGAAACAATGGAAAATGGAAACAAAGGCTTTCTAATTAATAAAAATAAAATTTTTTTACAAGCTTATTTTGAATATAATACCGATTATACAACATACTGCACATGCAAGTTTAACTTGAAAAAAAGGTCTGCTATCTTTTTGTAAAATGATTGTGATTAAAAAAAAATTAAGAAAGATATGCTTTAAACTCATCAGGTTTACTGGTCAAGCTCATAAGCATCCTCTTCGTCCAGAAGTCCATTCTTCTTAAAATACGCCAGTTCTCTTTCTGTGAAGAAAAATCGAAACAAAATCATCAAGCAACAGCATGAATTTAATTTCAGATTTCATTCATTCTTAAGGTTAAAAAAAAAGATGTGGGGTTGCTAAGCCTCTTGGATAATAATACACTTAACCAACCCTTCCCTCCTCCTACTTAGTTTGCCAGTTGACATTTTCATTTTGGTGCATCTTTGGTGTCATTTAATTTTTAATTCTGGTTTGCTGACGGTTAGTTCTGATTTCCTGCCTTTCTTCATTTTGGTTTGGAGAAAAGTTTCGCGGAATGATATGAAAGGCTGAATTATACAGGCATCTCGATTGGTTCTTGGAGGGAAACGCATAGAGGACGTCACCATTAACAACCCTTTGCTTTTAACCTTTAAACACAAGTAGATTTCATGTTGCCATGGGTCTGTACAGTAATGAATGACAGTTAACGACAAAATGTGGCCAGAACATCAGAGCCATACTCGGCTGTGATGATTTTTTGTTTTTGTTTTTTTTTTTTTTTTACATTATCTGTGATCTATTACTGAACAGACGCACCGCAACATGATATCTATTTGATAATTATTAGTCACTCATTCTCTGCTTTGTTAAACAATGAACTTTATTTTCTAAGATATCAAAAACATATTAATGCCATGCAACCAATGTCAGGTCAGTTACACGATTGAAAATATCCAAATACCCGCAATCGTCGTCCCCTTGTTGTCTAGCAGAACAGCAGTTCATCTTTGATCTTAACTTTGATCAATATCGTGCGGCTTGCTATCAAGTTTTCAAATAATGCCACAATACCTAAACTTGTCCTAAATCTCTTAGTGTTATAATGTAGTGGCTTCATCTCTCAATGCAGAAAACTTTTTCTGGAAATGAGATGTGTAAACCGAATAACTTACCCAACTTCTTGGTGTCCATGACCATTTTCTCCACAGAAGGCAGATCTCTGAAGCGAGACGCACTTACACGGTGATCAGCGGCCTCTTCGGCTTCATCTTCATCGTCAGATGGTTCATCTGCCTCTTTCTCGGCATAGTCTTCCTCTTGACTTTCATCCATTTCTTGAGGTACTTCCTCAGCTGCATCTTCTTCCAGAGGCACGTCTTCGGCCTCCTCTTCCTCTTTGGCTTCATCCTCTGCCTTCTCACCTGCATCGTCGTTATGACCTGTCTCTTCTGCCTCATCTTCTTCCTTCGCTGCCTCCTCTTCTTCCTTGGCCTCATCTTCCTCTTGAGGTACTTCCTCTATCTCATCATCTGCAAAGGTGTCATCATCATATTTATCCTCGTCTGATTCATCTTCGTTCTGGCTAACTTCCGCGGCCTCATCCTCCTCCTCTGATGTGTCTTCAGCATCCTCCTCCTTTTCAGGCTCATCTTCCTCCTTTGCTTCGTCCTCATCGGTGAGCATCTCTGCTTCGTCCTCATCGGTGGGCATCTCTGCTTCGTCTTTTACAGAATCCTCCTTTGCTTCATCCTGCTGAGCTGTATCCTCCTCTGCTGGTGCACTATGGGCCTCATCATCTTGTGCGGCCTCAGCTTCCTCTTCGGCTGTTTCCAAAGCATCGTCTGCAAAGTCGTTCGATACTTCTTCGGGTTCATCGTCAGACGGAAGGGCCTCATCCTCAGCATCTTCGGTTTCTTCCGCCTCGACGTCATTGGGATCCTCCTCGAAATACTCCGCTTCACTATCGTCATTTTCTACTGGTGCACTGTAAGATTCCTCTTCGTCATCACTCCTCAACGGCTCCTCTTCACGATAAAGCGACTCCTCGGCATCTTCTTCTCTAGAATATTTTGGAAAAGACCTATCGTCGTTCAGTTCACGATCGTAGTCATTGTCGTCCTCCTCATACTCTCCCTCGTCTTCCTCAGCCTTGTTCTTGTCGTCTTCTACAGAAAAAGGCAAAGCAAACTGTAAATTCATCAATTGTGGCAGAGGGTGTTTGAAAAATTTTGAATTGAGTGTGTTTAGGGATTGCTTGGGGTTTCCATTGCTAAGCCCTGTGATTGCTCCATACAGCTTGCGTCCTCTTCTAAACCAGTCAGATGTAAACTAAAACAAATCGCGACTCGGTCACTCGGGCTTTCCAACGCTTCTGAGTTGTTTTGTTTTGTTTTTAGTTCTCATTGGTTCGTTGAGAAATTTTCTTTTCTCTGATTGGCTCTCGTGATTACTTTAATTTGGTTTTTTAAAACCAAATTCAAAACGCGCTCCACGTCAATAAAGTTGTGCTTGTGAATACTTTCCCCCTGGGGATTTAAATTTTTACTTCGCGGATCAACTGCGAAGGTAACCGTGATCATTGCGGTACTGACGCAACCGTCCTAGCGAGTAGTTATCAGATGAACGATTGAACTCACCGACAAATAGGAGTGGCAAGCTTTGATGTTAACGAATTGAAAGGAAGATTTGCGCGGTTTTGTTTCAATCATTAAAAGAGAGGGCGTGGGTTAATAAGCAGTCTGAAGTATTAGCGGAGATGTTTGAGACTTTTTTATTTCCTGACATCAAATCTCTTGGTTGTAGAGAGCTATATTCACCTAACTAAGGCCAAGAGTTCTTAAACTCTGAAATAAGTCTTATGATCGAGGATTTCGCGCGCTACGCCTCTAAAACCTCTTAGAATATAATTTTGTAAACGCTAAAATCAAGGGTCAGAGAGTGAAAATTAATTTTGATCCATTGCTGTCAAACTGAGAGAAATGATGAACTCATTTTTCATTAAATTAATTGAAAGTACTCAATATTTCACACGCAATAGAATAGAAGGATGCATTGTATTTACAGCGTGATGGATGTGTCTTGCTCTGTGGGGTAGAATATTTTCATGTTGAAAGGATCCTCCTAAGGAGAAAGCTATTGTACTTGTCTTTCTCCGTAAGAAAGAAATTGGATTTTTGCCTTCCACTTGCAATAAAGGATAGCCTGAGTGAAATTGTGTGATGAGAATGGCGCCTCGCCCCTCAGGGTGTAATATTCCCATATTTGCTCGCTCGCCTCTCGTGGGGAGCTGTTGTACTTCTCCGTTCTCCGTGAAAAAAAACAATCGAGCTCGCTTTTCTTTGATGTTTTCTAAAGGTTATGCTTGGATGACGAAAAAGCGTTTATTAATATTGCTTGTCATATGGTGATTAATAAGCGGAAAACTTTCCCCAGTTAACCAAGGCTGGCAAATATTCTGAAACACTCACGTTAATTGCCATACAGCTGTTGTTCTGGCAATATTTTGATCAATATTCTGGCTTTTGTCTGGACGAGAAATTTTGCGACTTATATCCAAAAGTCAGTTATCAGTTTCAAAATTGGAAATCAAACATCCTTTACTGAACAAGTTCTATAAAATATCCGAATTAGTAGAAGTGGATTCCCGTGCGGTCGCGGTTATGTCTACACCCCTTGGTTTTATGAATATTGCACGCCTGGAAAGGAAACAAAAGGCTTTCTTCAACAGCATCTAAATTACTTGTTCGTCAAAACGGTCTTCCGCCTGTTATGTAAATTTTGTCCAATAAAAGGCAATTGCATTGAAAATCTTTTAAAGTTCATTAATCATAAACATTTTAAACAGCACTTTATGGCATCGCTTGCAATAATCTCCAAATTTTTTGTCTAGCGTTAAAAATTGTTTAATCAACTTTAATGCAAGAGAAGACAGCGAAAATGGCTATCAAATGGTGATATTGGGTTATTCCATGTCGAAAAATATGCCTATGGTTATTCAAGCTTAACGAATGGCAAGGTTCTCTAACTTTTCCTAGATAGAAAGCAGATTTTAAAATTTCCGATTCCTACGCTTGGTAAATATTCATGAGAGCCCTGTTGAGCGCGACTTGTGAAGGTAACAAGAAACTGTTGGCAATACCGGAAAGGTCTGGTCAGCTGATGTTTAAAGACTGCTAGTTATACTTCAAAAAAAAAAAGGGCTCGGTTTAGTTTCGATTAAGCGGAAGTTCCAGTTCACTAAGATGGAGACAGCGAAGTTTTGTTATATTTAATCCGTAGTACTCATCGAAAACAAGGTGATCGAAGCTGGTTGATAAAATTGACTTTACGTGCTGTGAAGAAAGTTAAGCGCTAAGGAATTTGTTGCGGTTCGATGATTTGCTGAATACTTTTCCAAATATATCACAGAAATAAAGTCACATGTTGCTTTTTCCTCCTTTTCCGCTCCTTATGGCAAGTAATATTGGGCCAGGATGCCCAAACTGCGTCAGTGCGCTTATTTAACGTCAAGTTGTACTAGAAAATGGTATTCAAACCTGGAGCCATAAGTTAGAGACCATTAATCTTTAGGCAGATATATTGTTTAGGGTTAGCGATTACGATCATGACAAAATTTGTCAGTTTCTCCCTGAGGGAGTTCAAAGACAATGTTCTAACTCGACCAGTATTCGAAACGATGACGATCTTTGATCGTAGCCAATTGCATTCGACCTGTTGTCAAGACGTTTTCTGTTTAATGTGATGCACTGAAAGTTTGCGTGGGGTTATGAGGGCGGATCTTTGCCTGTAGCTATGCGAGCGAGGGAGAAAAACGTATTCATTTAGATTTTACCTGCGGCTTTCCTGTCTCTCAATACTGGTTGCAAGGTTCAGCAACCGTATAACGGATATTTATCAAAAGAACAAAAAAAGGAAAATTTCAGTTTCTCATTAAATGAGCTTTGCTGTCGAAACAGATCGTTTCGACAAAACCGGTTCGTAATCTGCATGTTTACTCAGGTAGAATCGCTTCGAAATTGAACGCTATTTCTTGTCAAAACTCCATTTCGTTCGTTTCTATCCAGTCTTTTCACTTTAGCTGACACTTTATCTGTCCACTGATAATCAACCTGCTATGGAACATTATGTAACTAAGTGAGGCAATCCTCACTTTCTAAATAACTGCTTTGAAAAACTAAATTTCATACATCCAAGTTTTCTTTGCGGTAATAGATGTAACAAAAACAATTATCACGTCGGTAACTTACATGAAATTCAACGTTTATCGCTTAATATTTATTTAGGTAAGAATTTAAGTCATTTACTGAAGCCTTTCGCAACTCACAAAAAAAAAAAGACAGAAACAGAAACTTTGTCTTCATTTTCGATCCCTTTACGTGTTCAATGCATTTCGTGCCCTTAAATGATCAATGCCTTGAAGTAAGGAGGCTTAAATTAATAACCTGTTTCTGATGTAGAAATGATAAATCGTTTGGCTCCTAAACTGCACTTTTTTTTTGCAACAATCATAATTTTCGTCGCACTAATGTCGCGATCTTGAATTGGCCAAACTGTTTTTTAAATTCATTAGTTTAACTACCAGGAAAATTCACCGCAAATTATTCCTTGTTTAAATTTCGCCGTAGTCTGACTCGCTTGAATTATGATGTTACACGTACCAATATTTTCATATCTCGATTTAAAACCTTTCTAGCGATGAAATTTTAAATTTCTGTGCTCTGCTCCCCCTGCGGCGAAATTTCCGCCCGTGGATTCTGAAGTCTCTAACATTATCTATGCAATTTTGTGTTTTGAAATGCAAGCTTTCGATCCTTTTAAATTGTTATCTCTAAAATAAATATAAATATCATTAAAAAATCCATTGGAAGACATATCTGAAAAATCCCGTTCTGAAAATGTAAAATATACGAAGATTTGCCATCGGTGAAAAAAAGAATCGAAGGTTGCGTGTAAAACAGCTTTCATCCTTCGCAGATTTTTGACAAAGTCGAATTTATTGATGAGAATTGAGAATTATACCGTCACGAAATTGAGCGTATTCATACTCACTTACGGACACTGAGAGAGAGTTCTAAAGCACTTACCCGGTAGATCGCGGTTATAGAATTCATCATACAGACGTTCTCGAATGCTAGGATACTTCCCCAAGAGATCTGTAAACACCAAGTAAACATTCGCATGTGAATACAAAATGCGCACTCTGAAGGATTAATCTAGTGAAACTCGTTCAAACCTGAGTTTCTTTCGATCGGATCGCGGCGGAACAGATATCCGTCGTAAGCAGACTCGTCATAATCGGCGTTTTCCTTTGGGATAAAATCCCGACTGTAATCGTCGACATCTTCGTAAAAGGTGTTCCTCAACGGCAACGCGGTGGTCGGTGCGAAGGCCGCGAACATCATCAAGAGAACGATTTTCAGCATTTTGGATAAATTCTAGCTCTACCAGCGATGCTATCTCTTCGTTTCACGGGTGTCACTTGATCTGCGAACAACTTTCGACGATTGAAATTTAGAGCTGAACGCAATCGTCTCCGAGGCCACAATGATGTTGCTGTATCGTTGCACTTCAGTTCTCTCTGAAAGTTGTTGGCGCATGAAAATTAAGATACAAAAATTTGCGTAACAAAGCACCTGCTCTCAGTATCTTATTTACATTTCAAAGGTTCATAATATACTGCAGATGTGCTTTCCGTATTAGGGCGACTGACACGTGGTTACATCGCCAGCCTATCAAAAACACACTTGGCAATAAAATGTTTACCTTAGGCCAAAACAAAGACTCACGAATTTTCTTCTAATAGCAAACACATTATCAATTTCATCTGATCGAATTTCGTTATTTTACCTCTGTATAGAAAAAAAGAAATTCAGAAATTATTGATTGATACTATGATGAAAATTAGTGGCTCTCTTTGAAATTTAGTTAAAGTGAGGAGGGAATATATTAGACTCGCATTTTTAATCTCACAACGTATGAATTTATGAAACACAGAATATTTCAGCTGACTATCGTGTACGTAGGCGGAAATAATTTTGCGCCTCTTTTTGTTTTGTTCACAACTGTGGCTATTTTTCGAAACATGACGAAGATCAGTGAAGGACCCACTTGTAAGTTGGACTGGAGATTCGATATCTCGCAGGAAGACTCTAAAGTCACTGAGTTGTTTTACCCAAGCCCCCCTTAACAACTAAAAACTATTAAAAACCATTGCGTAAAGGCTAATAGCATTGTAATATCAAAAGACAAAAATCTAATTTAATGCATGACCTTAAAAGTGTAAACTCCAAAAAAATTCATTTGCTATGAATAGATTAACTGTTTAACTCCCACGAGTGACCAAGACAGAATTTCTCCTTACAATATCTTTACAATATCAACCGGATAAGTGATGAGAATAAAGAAAAATATCAGTTTGGGATAATCAGTTGGTCCAATACTAAATTCTCTGAACTAACATAATAAGAATTGTATGGTTGACACTAAGGAGAATTAGAAATTTGATCTGGGAGTTACAGGGTTTAGGAAGAAGATAAATCAATACAAGATTAAGGAGATACTAAGATTCGCAATTTTGGAAATGACGGCTGATGATCGATATTAAACCTGGAAATACAATATTGAACTGCAAGAATTGAATAAGTTGCTCTTAAAGATCCTAAACATTTTCTAATTACCAGTAACTACTTTTAAACTTAGGATGTGGTTTAAAATCTGAAAAACAAAACTTCTTCAACAATTTTGTTCGGTCGAGGGTCAATGGTCTATATTCCGTCAAGCAACTGTTGGTGATTTCTAACAAGAAGAGGATATCATTAATCAAAATATTATAAACCCTTGCATTCATCTAGTGAATGCGCCCTCCTTAGTGATTTATGTTGCTCAGACTTAAAATTTTGATTTCTTGTAACTAAACCAAGCGCTTTCCTGCTGGGAGAATCATTTATTCCATTCTCATAAGCTAAGAATGTTGGTCAAGTTTTTTCTTCTTGTGCGTGACGGAGAGGAGAGCTATATTCAATAATGAATGGAGCAGGCCTTGTTTCCCACAAAGGTTTTACTCCTTAACAAATATATTTATAGAATTTCGAAAAGTAATGTCCCGATCTGAGAAGTTTTCCTCCCGCGCCATCGATCTAACACGTCGCGCGATCTAAACATGCTCTGGTTGAAAATAAGGAATATTCTAAGGAAAAAGAAAACCGGACAAAGTCCAAGGGAAATTCTCTTTGGGATATTAACAATTTACAATTTATATCAGTCAGTTCACTCAGTGATAATTATTACGTACTCTAGACCAAGCCATGCGGCTTCTACTCCTTTCTCCAGAGCAAAATCATAACCTTCCAATGCACATAATACTACTCACTTCCTTATGAAGCTTATATTTTATATAAAGGCGGAATAAATCTGGTTTCATCTACTGATTTGATCATGCAAATTAGCCAAAATATATATAATTGGCCCATACATACATATATATATATATAGGCTCTTTAGTATCCTTTCTAGTCTGGCCAGAAATTTCTAACACAGAGGAAGTGAGTTCAGCGGCAGGACGCAGATAGGACAAAGGATGTACAAAAAATTGAGATTGAAACTTTTGAAAACTGTGGTTAAAAATATTCATCTTATAGGCTTGTGTCCTACGCTGTACTTCACAGACATTCAATATCAAAACCGACTATCGGGTTTTTGTTTAAACGGAAGATCCAATATTCATTTCCATTTTAAAAAACTTAACGCAGCACTGATCAGACCATAATCAATTGCCTACCTACAAGAATTGTTTAAAGGTGATTCAAAGAATTCACATAAAAAAATGCTTTTCTCTTCCTGCTCGTAGCTTAGTGAGATCACGAGATTGGAACTTAAATGCGTCAGAGGCAAATGTATATGTATTTGCAGTCGCAGTGCCTCAGCATTCAGTCCAGGATAAGCAGTCCAGCTTGGAGCTTTCATTAGGGAGAAACATATGCTCTTATGAATAATTGTCACTCAATGCTTATTGTTTTCTTCGAGCTTGGTTCTCAAGATCAGTGTTCGGTGGCAAAGGAGATAGATTGGGTGTTTTAGACAAATGGATAAGAGCGCGTACGATCTGGTGAAATCGAAAATCGCACCCGTAATGGTAGTGAAAAGGTACAAGAAATCAGCGTCGAATTAATCTGAACATTTTCACTCATTTCGGTTGTGCTAAGCTAAGCTAAGTTTCAAGCTATTTTTATTAACCAATTTAAGCAACTTTAGAAATTTAGGCAGCAAATTTTTAGATTTTTTTGCAATTTTTAGCAACTTTTTGGCATTGCCGGTGAGTAAATTTCCAGCATTTTTCGAGCACAATGGGGACAGGTCTACCGATCCTACCCCTTCCCCACCCAGGTGATATATAATAAATGGTTCTTTACGGGAACGCACAATCACCAAAACTTACATTTCATTATTTTCACGGAAGTGGAGACAAATAATTTTCTAGAGACCTGTTATTATTAATCGCCGGGGGTTAGTGGAAGGGGGGGGGGGTTTGCGGGGGATCTCAGGGGGAACGGAGGCCGGAGATCAGTTGTCACCATCAGAGTATCAAGGAGGAACTATAGAAAATTGACTGCTTATAAAATGCCCATGGGAGGGGGGGGGGGGGCGGTAAAAAAAAAGACACTACGCTCCTGTTCCTCTTTCCTCGCTAGTGCATTTCGAAAAAGTTCTCCGATTTTCAGCAGAATCTAGATCCAAACCCAATCAAATTCCCATGGTGACAATCAGAAGCGAGATAAACAAGACTTTAAACTAGCTGTCCCCACTATCATTCTGTTCAACAAAAGAACTAATATGTATGCAAGGACTGCTGGGAATGCAAGAATCCCAAAGTATCCCATGGGAGAAGAGGAACGCGAGCAGACGTGGGAAAGAAAAGATCACGTTTTGTCGGAGTAGATCCGGGGCCGTGTGGAAAACAGGGCAATGCTGGACCACGAGACCCGATTAGGGAACCGAGAATCAAAGCAGTTCCGGGTATAAGAGGGTCACCTGGTGCTAAGATAGACCCCAAACGGTCAGAGAAAAATTAAAGTGTAGTGTTCCAATGTTCTGTGAGTGGTAATCCTACACCGACACTACGTGGTTAGAGGTAAAAAAAAATCCTCCTAAGTAGTCGTTCTCATTTTGGTCAAGGTGGGAGATGACAAGTGCGTCACGTGACTCTTGACGACGCGGGTAAATACACCTGCACAAGAAGAAATTTATCAAGCACCGCAAACCATACAGCCCGACTGATTATTGAAGGTAAGCACTTCCTATGAACAAGATAAAATTGGACTCGAGGGCCGAATTAATTCGGAACACGATTTCATCTACCCCAGATCTAAATGCTAGCAGTACCACTATTATCATGATTGTTTTTATTACCGCCATCGTTAAAAGTTTTTTAAAGTTGTTTATCCATGGGTGAACTTTGAAAATTATGTATAACTCTTCTCCTCGTAGCACCTCCTCGGGTTCAACAAGCTTGAAGTCCGATCCAAACAAAAGTAGGTGAAAACGCTGCGCTGCCAAAGTGCCACGTAACGGGTTTTCCAGTACCAGTTATCTCTCGGCGTAAGCTACCAGTTTCTCTGTCGAAAGACCGGACTTCTCAGGTCGAAGGCACTTTTGACTGTGGGAGCCGCCCAAAAACAAGACACTGGACTGTACGTCTGCCACGCCAAGAATTCATTAGGGGAGCATTAACCGTTGACTCGCTGTTTGTCTGGTTTGTACCAACATTTAAAGCAAGGTTACCGCAAAATTTTCCAAAAGTCTTTGGGATGACATGGCTCTTAGATTGCTCTCCACCCTCAAGTATTTCTTGGAGGAGATTTAAAGGTGCCAGAGATGCGAGTATGGCGAGATTCGACAAGACGAGTTAAGAAGATATCTAAACTCAAAGAGGCTGATTATGGAGTGTTCATTTGTGAAGCAAACTTGCTTTTCTCTACTATCGAGGCTAGAAACGAGGTAGTTGTAAAAGGTAAATAATTTTCCTCATAGCAATTTAAGGAATTATGCATGCAATGAGTGTTAGTCGTGATTGAGCCATACATGTTTGTTTAAAGCAACGGCAGGTGAAAAGCTATCAAAATAGAGGTTACTACATTTACCTCACTTTTAAGAGTGTCGAGGGCAAACAAACGTATTGTTTTTCAAATGGCCATTAAAGATAATACTTCTCTGGTGCACTGGCATGCAATTTGCGTTATTGCAGCAAGGACCAGTTGCCTCGAGTTTGGCGGAGCAAAATGTCAATGGCTAAAGTTTTATAGGAAAGGGTGTATAGATGTATACTACAAATCTCCCTGATTATTCTAAGCAGCATATGCTTATTTGCGGCCTTTTCCTTTCCAAAACTCGAGAACAAAAACTTATCTTTCAAATTGGCACTCTTAATCCCCATGGTATCGATCAACAAGCGCTTTTCATTCCACTTATTTATTCTTGTTTTCCCGTCACCATATTCCAACCAATAGCGTAGGTCTTAGCCTTTTCATTTTGCAAAGAGGCTGCGAAGTACTGGATCGCACTAAATCATGGCGAGTTGTTTATGGTATTTGACGCAAGGTGTAGTTCTTATCTCTAGCAAATCATGCTCTGCTGTTTGAGAGCACCTGTTTTTAACAAAGATTCGACATGTTTTAGATGATAACCAATTTTTCGTGAAGTTGCTAAGTGCGGGGGTTATGGGAAATATTTGCATATTCTCTGTTGGATTGTTCCTTGCCAGAATAGTCCATTTTACAGTTGTGTGCTTGGTTGCCAAGCCTTTGAACAGGAGTGAGGGTAATGTTGACCTTGTCACGATACAAACCTTGCTGCTTTTCAAATACAAATTACTTTGTTATCATACTAACTTGATTCTGGTCTCTATGACAACTAGGTCACCTTCAGCCTCACTCCAAATCAAAGGCTTGGCATCTAAGTACACAGCTGTACTTAGCTGCTATCAATAATATATGAAAAGAAGTTTTTCTTTTCCCTTTTTGAAAGTTATTGCGGCTTATAAAACCAAGGTTAAACTGAAGCGTCTTTCTATTTATGACATTCAAAAATTTATTCAAAGCTTCCAAGATAAGAGAGAGAGTACCATTAATCTCGAGAATTACTCAGGAATGAGAAGTTGTCTTTCCATATTTGAAAGTGAAATATCGCTAACACCTGCAAACACTTTAGAATGCAACTTCTATTGACGCATGCAGCCGTGACGGATTATAGCTTCTGTAAAAAGGAAGGAGAAAAGGAAATGAATGAAGTTACAGTAGTTTTGCCATTTTATCAAAACCATGATCACTTTTAAAATCAAAGTTTTCCAAAGTTTTCATGATGTGCAAAGCCGTTCGTGACTTTAGATGATGTCGCAAACAGGCATTTATTTTCAAAATAAAAAGAGAAAAAAGGAATTTAATTAAAGACGATCAGGGGTCCTTTTTATTCATTTTTTTTAGAGTGCAAGACGCCTTTTTTGGCGTGATTCCATTTTGTTATTTTTATTTTGTTATTTCATCCTATAAAGATTCCTCTAACACTGTTTTTATCTTAACCCTGATGAAAATTCTAAGAAAATCACCTGTGTTTTATTCATTCCCAGGTTACATTTTAGGCATTTATACCACTTCAAAAAGTTGCAGCATTTTTTAATGGATTCTATTTTTTCAAGGCTGTAACAATAAAACAGCACATTTTCGTTTTAAAGGACATAGAGGAACAAGAAATTAATTGTTAAGAACGGGATGTATATAGACTTTTGTGTGAGGAACTACAGTTGCAAGAAACAAGTGCCGATGACAGCATCGTTTTGGAGGGTTGATCAACGACAAACATGAAATAAATTATTAAGAGCATGACAGATATTGACTATTGTGACATCAATTACTGTTACAAGAAACAAGTGCCGATGACAGCATCGTTTCTGAGGGTTGACCAACGACAAACAGGAAATAAATTATTAAGAGCTTGACAGATATTGATTATTGTGACAGCAACTAGTCACAAAAAACAAGTGCCGATGACGGCATCGTTTTTAGAGGGTTTTTTTCATTCCTCTGGAAGAAGTGTGTTACATGCTAAAAAAAGGTAAGTCAGTTTGCTTTGACGCTAGCAAGTTAAAAACTAAGAATAAGACACCTCATTTAAATCATATGGATAAAGTATGGTATTTATTCCTATCTGAAAAAAAAGAAAAAAAAAAAAAAGAAAAATACATTCCGAAAAACTAAGATGAGATGATCCCCTCTCCTGAGGTTAGCGAAACTTCAGATCCATTTTCTTTTTATGCAGTTCTTGCAGCTATGTAATGGGATAAAATGTTGGAATTACTATAATATCTCTAATTTATCGAACTAACAGAGAAGGAATCTTTTAATTCGACGGATTCACAACGTGAGCCTTTTATCACTTTTTTCAAGCTATTTGTTCAAAGAGAATATGTTAATTAACGATGAAAACTGTCCTTATCAAATCTCCAATTTTAAGGTGCAATGCAGCGTAGAAGACATAAGTCGGGTCTTGCTGCTCGAAACAGAAACCTTTAAATGTTGAAACTTGGGCAGGGAATAAGAGACGTTGAAACTTTCTTTCTTTTTATCGACTTTCTAAAACTTTTTGGGGCTCAGTCTTGTGTGACGCAAGGTTTCTGAACACTTTGTTTCTTTAATGTTGAGCAAGAAAAAATTCTTCAATGTGTCAGTTTTTAATTTAGGTTTATTATTAAGCTTCCCATCCGACATTCATATCCTAGCAGTGTGCACGAAGTTTGTCATCAGGCCTAGCCTGCCACGAGTTGATAGAACATCCGAAGTACTAATCAGAAGGCCGTAGGTTCGACTCCTATTGCGAGCACTCTGAGTTCTTTTTCTTCGGGTATACCCGTGTCTTTCACTAAAAATATCATATTATAAAAAACCTCGATGATTCCATTTTATATACCATATGTACACAGATGATTCCGAAACATCACCATAGATCGTCATCCATAGAAGGTGAGTGTATTTAGTTTAAGGATGATGATAGTTGAGTTTATAAAACTCTTTTTATATCTCCAAGATTTTGAAGTCTTTTTGTGCTATGAAGCCAATCAAATGATCAAAAAATTGTGCCAATTGTGCGGGGATTTGCTTTAAGAGCTAATGTCAGCATGAATGGGACTAACAGCGGCAAGTCGTATCAGGCACACCATGTATATTTCATAGTCGCTAACAAGTAAATTTTGCCGGACTTTGAGTTCGTCTCAAGATAGAACAACACAAATACACAAGGAAACTTTTACAGTAACTTTTTAACCATCCTTTTGTCTCTTAAAAACTTGAAGCTCAGCAGATTCTGTCATATCGGTCATTGTTAAAACTGTCTTTGTTTTGATGTTACTTTTCAACATAGGAAAAGTATGTCGGACAAAAATGTTAGCCAAAAAATAAGTATTACTTTTCCAGCTTCAATAATGACAGGAGATTAAGTTTAGGTGATAAAACAAAGGATTATGTTGACAGAAATACCAGAGGTCAAGTACATTCGTTACATGAGGTCCCACAACTTGGGTAATATCAACGGTGAAAATTTGCATATTTGAGCGATCGAACGAAAAAAATTATTTCTCGAAAACTAAAATATATTTTCACAAAAAAACTACACCACAATTATTAGGACATACTGGGCTACAAAATATGAAAGTAGGAGTGAAATCGAATTTTGGGCGACTCGCCAAAATATTTTAAATTTGTTCGATTGATACTGACATCCTCTCTTAATACGTGTAAAGCGTGGAGATGAGCTTGTTTAAAACCTATGACCTTTGCAATTGTATCGACTTGATTTGCTTTTCTAGTTAGAATGGCGAAATAACAAGTTGCATTATTAAAAAGTGGACTCTTGCCAAGGAAACAATTGGGCAGAGAGAATATTAAAAGATGCCCTCAATTATTTTAATTAAATCTAATAAAGAAAGATGTTTTTCGTCTTGTCACGAGTGTGGGACAAAGAAAAATTCAGAGTCCCCATGAGGAACTATGTACTTTTCTTATTGCTAACATGCAGTCGATTCAGAATTGATTCCTACGTTGCTTCATGTTTGTTTGTCTGTCTGTCTATCTGTTGTCATAACTTTTTGTCTGCTGGTTTGGCTAAGTAATCTACACTTTCCAATTTCAGCATCAGCGGGAATGACGTGGAATTCAAGCTTCTTAATCCTCCTGGTCTCTCTGTATCTCATGGACTTCTCTACTGCTAAAACTCCATGCAAGACAGAAGTAAGCGTACCTGGCATGGCTCTCAAAGGATTCGTCTTTAAAAAGGTCCCAGTAACAGCTCCTCATATGTGCGATATCACTTGCGAGAAGGATACGATATGTCAAAGCTACCATTACATAATTGGGGAAAAGTCCTGTGAATTGAACACCCGAACTAAGGAAGCAAGGCCCGAGAATTTCCAGCCAGATGATTTACGCTTTTACATGGGACGCGTTGGCGGTAGAAGTACGCATTCGGTCTCGTTTATTTTACATACAAATCTTTCTCCGTGAGTTCTTAGTAAAAACCTGTCACTTTCTGAAAGCAAGTGTCTGATTGCTTTGTTATTAAATAGGGCCACTGTCTTAAAGCAAAATTCGCCCTTCATACTACATTAATATCAGCCAAACTTCACAGCTCTTAATCATTATTATTCCATGTTTATCATAAACAAGGCTTGCCCGGACAAATATATATTCATCTCTAATCTGTATTGCAACTTCTATTACCCTCAAACCATTAATGAAGTCATGTCTATATCGTAGCCCCCTTAGGATCTATTCCTGAATTACCAGCGTCATCGTGCCAAGAGATAAAATTAAGTGAAGGTGAAGACAGCATCAGTAAAAAGTATTGGTTGGATCCAGCTAATGCCGGGAGTTCAAAGTTGGTTTATTGCGACATGAACTTGGGAGGTAAGTCAGCATATCAAGAACAGGATTACTTTACACAGTGTTTGGTCTACCTTTACACTTCCCTTTTGTAGAATTTTTTCACCTTGTCTCAATTTTTTCTTTCGATTAATTTTCAATCAGACATCGATGATTGCAAAGGCATCAATAACGTTTGTGACAAAAATGCAAACTGCTCCAATACTGTTGGATTCTATAATTGCACTTGCAAAGAAGGATTTACTGGGGATGGACACTCGTGCTCAGGTAAAATAGTTACAGACATGCCGAGTTACAATATTTAATATTTTTTCGCCTAAAAACACTGGAGGTACATTTGAGCTATCTACAGTCGAGTGAGTGAATAATAGACCAATAATAGCTTGCATGCTATATCAGTGAAGCCCTAGCATTAAACAAAGCAATTTTAGAAGGAACTGTTGTCCTATCAGTGTTAAGTTTTACTTTTTAAGCAGCATTACCCATACATGTTTATGCACAGAGTTGCCATGATCTACATCCGGTTTGTTCGAGAGTCATCATGTTAGGAGATAAAAAGAAAAAAACATTCTTTGTGACAAGAGAATACAATTGGTGGTGAAATGTACTTTTCAAAAATCTAATTCGTGAAAGACAGAAGAAAGAAATTTTTTTCTTATTATTTAAAACGATTAAAGTAATTACAAATTGTTAGTTAACAAAAATGATAAAATGCAAATCTACGGTTTCGCAGATATTGACGAGTGTAGAGGAAATCACTCCTGTTACAAGAATGCTAAATGCAAAAACACCCTCGGATCACATGTATGTGAATGTCTCGCTGGATATACTGGAAATGGGCAAAACTGCACAGGTGAGTTTAATCTATTCGCTTCAACATTTAGACACGTTCGACTACAGCAGTACCATTCACTCATAACTCGTTTTAATTCAAGTAGCCGTTTCTCGTGTTAAGGACCTCTTAGGTAACGTTCCTGACTTTTGAATGAACAATTTTGGTGACTGATGCATTGTTATTCTGCTTTTAAATAGACCCTGTAAAAGTGGTCGACAAAAGTATGAAAATAATATCGCTCGTTTGGCTCTGAACCCTGTCTACAGGTTGGATATATAAGTGCTTTTCCAAGGCGTTCCGTTTTCGTTTACGCGTAAGAAGTTGAAAACTGCTTATAAAATTATCAAGATACTTCGAGCGCTCTGATTGGTCAAAAAAATATCGTTGCTTGCACCGGTAAACCTATGGAAAATTGAAGTTTATGTTGTTGACGAATGCAGCCAGGCTCATGCCTTGATTTACTTCATTAAAATGAACGAATGTCATCCGAATGGATCTTGCGCTAATACCCAGGGCTTTTATTAAAGTAACAGACTGCATTTTCTAACGGTTTACCAGCGTAGTAAACGTCTCCAGATGTTGGAAAACCATTCGAAAAAAAAAGTAAATCAATCACCTCCAGCTCGGAAGTACAAACTTTTCTGTTGTTCTCACAACATGCCGCGTGATCTATCTCCCTAGTAAACTGATAGAAAGAGCGATGACGAAGGGGGTAAGGTTCTAAAGAAACTGTGATGCTGCATCGGTGGGAGAGTATAACAGGGTCTCTAAGTATTATTAACCTGGTTGATGACGTAAATTGGCCATCGTAAAGAGTTTTAAAGCTTACGCTCGAAACGTCAGCTTCGTAACTCTTTATAGTGGCCAATTTACATTATCAACTCAGTTAATAAAACCAAATTATCTCACTAATCAGATTCATGACGAATGCGAAAATGATAAAAAACAAAAACAAAAACAAAAACAAAAATATCTAAAAAGAAATGGTTAGGCTGAGTTCTGAAGGGATTGTACATTTTTCTCTGACCTTATCTGACCCTTTTCGTGGAACCGAAAAAAACCTTTAAGATTCTCTAACCTCCGAGAATTACCTTATAACAATAACAGCTATGGTCATTCAAACTTATTTGACTTATGCAAGCCAATTTGCTTCATGATTATAAATAATTGGATGATGCTAATATTTATTACGTTATTACGCAGTTATTACGCAGTCCTGGGAAATAATTGTGTTACTACCGAATACCTTTGGGCTGGTTTCGTTGTGTGGGAGCTGAGGATCAAAAATGTCCTAAACGCATTTGGTAGCATCCACTAGTTGAGATATATACAAACAACTCAGGCTTTAGTTGATGGGCGATTATAGCAAGGGGAAACATAACTCTTTATAATGCTATCATTTGATTTTAGTTCCTATTTGCATCATCATTGTCCAACGCAAATTCTTCTTAAAAAATTTTTTAATGCATAGTTGTTCTTGTAAAACACAGGTCACTGATTTTAAAATGTCAACAAAAACATTTTATCTTTGATACTACAATCTTTTCTTAATGTTATTTAATTTAGTAGCCGACCCCTGTTGTAATTATCAAAACCTGAGTGATGCCAATAGAAAGAGCAGTTACGCTATACTGCCATCTGGAACAGTGTTTTGTGACGACTTACCCCCTGAGGGATGGTATCGTTTTGTGGGAGCTGCACGAACAAGCCAGTTGTTTCAGAGCCGATAGCTTGATAAATTAAAAAATTTGTGGTGAAATATACGTTTCAAACATTTAATTTGTGAAACACAAAAAAGAGGAAAATTTGTTTTATTATTTATAATTATCAAAGTAATTCTGACATGACTGAGAGTCCGCCTATTTTTAAAGTGACAGACATGATAAAGTGCAAATATTTATTTGGTTTCTCAGATATTGACGAATGTAAAGGAATTCACTCTTGTCACGTGAATGCTATCTGCACGAACACCAAAGGATCCTTTGTTTGTGAATGCCAGCCTGGATTTAATGGAAATGGTCAAAACTGCAAAGGTGAATTTAATCTATTTGCTATAATATTTAGAATATTCCTGCTCGAATCTAACCTCAAGCTGCTGAGGTGGCCACTGTCGGCCATATTATTATTTTTTCATATGTAAACGATACTGATTGTACCTTAAGTCTACGAAGAGCTGTCTTTTAAGGCGCTGCTGAGAAAGAAGGAGCTCAGATTCGGATCCTGCTGAATTCATTTGGTTTTTTAATATCACTAAGACTCTTCGAGTGATGATATCCTACACATGATCCCATGTACTACTTGACCCCTTAATTAATGCATAGTCATTTTTCTTGTTAAATACAAGTTTCACCTCTGATTGGCAAGCTGCCAGAGAAAAAATCTTGAACCATTGATTTTAATACCCACAGTCCTTCTGCATTTTAATTTTACTTTGTAGCCGATCCTTGCTATGATTATAAAGACCTGAGTGATGCCAATAGAAAGATAAGTTACTTAACAAGTCACGGTTCAGAATTGTGCGACAACCAACTCCCTGAGGGATGGTATCGTTTTGTGGGAGCTGCAGGAACCAAAATGCCAACAACACGTGTGCCAGCAAACAGATGTGGTACACAATGGCCAGGCTGGTTGGATGGTACTCATCCTGCAGTGGAAGATGGTGAAGTTGTTAGGAAGGTCTGCTTTACTGCTGATCGTTCGTCTGGTTGTAAAGCCACGAAGACTACTTCTGTGAAAAACTGTGGATCCTACTTCATCTACAAACTTCAACAGCCAAGTTATTGTAACTATCGCTACTGTGGTACAGACTGAATATGAAGCAAACATACTTTGCGTAGCAAGAGGACTCGAACCGCTTTTACCATGTGACATAGTTAACCTTTCTTTTCTATCGTAAACATTATCAGCAGATTTTAACCTGTGGCAAACAGGTATTGATTTCACCATAGTGATAATTCTCATTAGATAGCCTCTGTCATCGCAGAGAAACGCAAACTATCAAACTTATGGTTTTCGAGCCTTTTGTTTATGTATTAATTTTCGTTTTTTTTTTCATCCTTCTATTGCTGTAACTATTAACCATGGTTATTTTAGCGTAGGTCAGTGGAATGACCAGTAGGCGCCATCTTACGTTATAGGCGTAGAAAAAAAAGTGATGATAATCACGAATTTTCAGACGCACAGTAAGCAAACTTCGATGGTTTAGCCTGTCGTAACCGTGTGTCAAATGTGACCGAATCGACCAGGATGCATTCGAAATGGATCGCTTACATCTCAGACTGATTTGAATCTAAGCTAAAGATCTTTACACAATGGCTTCAAAGTGTTCCTATAGAGCTTACTTAACTAAGCGCGCGGGCAGTTCATTTATTCAAGATGAAATTTGTTAAAATAATTTTCGCAACAATTTGTTTAGGTAATCAGGCATTTCGAGTGCAATTAGGGAGAAAACAGCACGAGTAAGTTTTCAAAGGCTAACCAGATTTTATGAACCCGTAGGGCGAGTGCAGTTTAAAAACTGCAAGTAGCTTTCAAAAGTTGACTTGTTTTTCAAACATAAACACGCAAAAAGAACAGTATTTGGAGCTGCGATGCGTTTAAAACAAGTACTTGGAGTAGCATAGGTAAACACAAGTTGTAAACAACTTTGTACATCGGTTAAGTACATTACCAACAACTTTTCACAGGAATGTTAGATTTAAAATCAAAATCACAGTTTCTCACTGTGAAATTTTCCTTTTTTATGATGCAAAAATATTCAAAGAATCCTATGAAAAATAATAAGCGCGGGAAAGAAACCCCCCCCCCCCCACCCCCAAAGCCTGATATTTCAATATTCTAATACTAGAGAAATCAGATGTGCATTTAATTTGTACTGGTAGTTATAGTTTATTTAATTCTTGGGAATTTAATTTTTACGGTTTTTAGAGTATTGTAAAGCGGAGTGGACAATTAATGGAAGATGGCGCTATGTAAATGTTTTTCATTTCATTTGTCTCTAATTTACAAGAAGAGACCTGAACACAAAGCAAATGGGGCAAAGCAGGGCGAGTTTATTAACAACGTATCAAAATATAGAAAAACTGTTGTTGATCTTTTCAAAGGGAAGTGATATGAGCTGGGTCACTTTGTGGCTCAGCTTCTTGAGTGGTGTAAATAGACAGACATCATGTATGTTATCTCATTATTCAACAAAAACTATGTATCTCTCTGTAAATACATTTACCTTACACGGATTATTTTCAGCTGACTTTCATAACACGAACAAGACAGTAAATGTTTAGGGCAGTGTAATCCACGGGCCAGAGTAGGTTCTCGACACCACTCATCTGATGAAAGGTTATGTAAAAGACTCTTCAAATTCATTTAATAGCAATCGCGAAGAGTAGCTTTCACAATTTTTGTAATGGAATTAATATAGATAACCAGGGAATAATAACAAGAACAACAAGGAAATAGTCCAGAAAATGCATGAAACCAGAACCTAGTGAAGTAAAAACAGAGCAATCAATCAAAACTGGTTGTAACTTAACATCACAACGATACAGTAACAAATGGAGAGAGTTAATGAAAAAGATTGTAACGTAAGTAACAGAAAAAAGAAAATAAGGTCAATCTTTTGTACAGTTAACTAAATTAATTTACTTTTTATAATTAATTTATATTGAACATCTTTCTTCATTAAATTGCAAGTAATTTTCACAAGTATCGTTAGAATTCAATTGTTAATTATCTTTAAGTAAATAGTAATAAAAGAAAACCTTGCAAAAAGGCATTTTTTTTCAGTTTTTGCCTTTGTTAGTGCTAAGGGATGTACATTCATTTGCTACCCATGGCTGGATTGCATTATTTATCCTGTTGATGTCATTTGTTTGGCCAAAGGAAGAGAATAACGTTTTCGTACACCACGAATGTGGGTGCACATGCTGGCGTTACTCTGAAAAAAAAAAACAACAACAACAATGAAACAAACAATATAAAGTAAAATCAACAATAAATGTGTTTTCACCGCACACCGCGCACTTTTTCTTTGATACGTTACGGTTATTGTTATTAAAGAGGTGAATTGTCAATCAGGTGACATTTTATGGCCAGAGATTTTCTTAAGCTTTCCTTCGAGGCCTATTGGTGAAATGAGAGTAACTTTGTTGTACGCTAAGAAGTCATTACCGTCTATCAAATTAACACACTTGATATCTCCATAAATGTTAAGGAGAAGAAAAATAAAGAGACTCTTACTCATAGGTAACCTGGCCCAAACCACTAAAAGTTGGATTTATCATTCTAATTAGCAAATAGATGGACCGTAATCGTTGGAAAATAAGTCAACGTGATAACTTGGAACTTTTCCCAACATAATCTCAAAAATAACGCAACGGAATCGATTTCTTGAGAAACATTAAAATGATCTATTTGTTTAAAATTAATCAGCGCACTAGAACGAATATGGAAAGGCTATCGGGCATCAAATGAATTAAAATCTGATAATATCTCGAACCGCGAACAGGACCCTGAGAGTGACGCTAAATGAGTACGCTTCAAACTTCGAGTCTCTCAACGGAAACAAGCACCATGTCCTAGACACTTTTTTCGAAATAGTTTCACAATGCTTTTATTCCTTTTTTTTTTTTAATTTCTATAGTTCTCAGCGGTAGAAACAAAACAGGAATATAAGCACCAAAGTTGTAAACCAAAGCGGCACCTGTACATGGTCTAAAATTAAAACTAAAATAGAAAATTCTTAAGGACTAATGGTTATTAGGATCACACAATTCTAAGCGAGTCTCTATTAGTATAAAAGTTTTGCATTCAAATGATGGTCATAAATACCTTTTAGGACCTGTCTCTCATTTTAAGCAAATTATACGATACCATATCATATTGTGGTGACGAAGGGGTTGCAAATTTAGAGTTTTTTTTTGTTTTTTTTTTAAGAGTTATTGCGGCTCATAAACCCAAGATTAAACTGAAGCGTCTTTCTACTTGTTATGACATTTTCAAATTTATTCAAAGCTTCCAAGATAAGAAAGAGTACCATGAATTAAGAGAATTACTCAGGATTGACAGGTTGTCTTTCCATATTTGGAAAGTCAAATATGGCTAACACCTTCTAACACTTTGCAATGCAACTTCTAAACGCAGGCAGCCGTGGCGGATTGTAGAATCTATAGAAAGGAAGGAGAAAAGGAAAATGAATGAAGTTACAGCACTTTTGCCATTTTTTTTTTCATCAAAACTATGATCGCTTTAAAATCATAGTTTTCCAAAGTTGTCATGATGTTCAAAGCCGTTCTTAATTTGGATGATATCGCAAACAGGCATTTACCTTCCAAAATAAAAAAGAGAAACAAAAGGAATTTAACTAAAGACGTTCAGGGGTTCTTTTTATTAATATTTTAAGAATACAGGACGCCTGGTAAAGCATGCGTTGTGGGGGGCAAAACAGTGTGGTTCCATTTTGCCATTCGAAGTGTGTGCGATTGATTTCATCATATAAAGATTCCTTTAAGGTTGTTTTTATCTTAAGGCTGATGAATATTCTATGAAAATCATCTGTTTTATTTTATCCTAAGTTACACTTTAGACACTCATACAACTTCGAAAAGTTGCAACGTACATTTTTTTAATAGATTCTGATTTTTTTAGGACAAAAAAACAGCGCATTTACGGCATCGCTTTTAGAAGGTTAATCAACGACAAACAGGAACCAGAAATGAATTATTAATAGCATGATAAATATGGAATATTGTTACAGTAACTATAGTTACAAGAAACAAGCACCGATGACAGCATCGCCTTTAAAGGGTTGATCAACGACAAACAGGAGCAAGAAATAAATTATTAAGAGCATGATAGATATTGGCTATTGTAACAGCAACTACTGTTATAAGTGCCAATGACAGCATTGTTTTTGGAGGGTTTTTTATTCCTCGCTAAAAACTCTGGAGGAAGCGTGCTACATGCTAAAAAAGGTAAACCCGTTTTTTTTCTTGAAGCTAAATTATTTTTTCCTTAATTAGCTAATGGATGAGTTTCTTTAGTTAGGCAATGGACAATGGAAAACCGAGAGGGATTTGTTATCAAAATACTCCTAAGAGCTCATTTTAAAGTATAGCTTTCGTAGGTCTGTAATCAAAATTTACCGAACTCTACTTCGTGCCTAAAAGCTAATAATTTGTACTGATTAAATTTTACTTTGAAATTAATGAAACAGGTTTTTTCGCCGTTGGTTTACAAACATCGTAGACAGAATTAACAATTATATTACTCAAATTCCCGCCCGAATTTTGTTGAATTCATTGCACGCGAGGAACCAAAACAGAAACGATGAAGTTGAAAGAGAGCATGTTTAACTCGTTGACAATCAACTGCAGATGTTTAAGGATCGTATTTCTTATATTCATCAGCCCTAGAGTTTCGTAGAATAAGTTTGGCTTCAATCCCAAAATAGGCTTTGGTAAATTTTTGACGGCAAACTAATTACGGCTGCTATGTAAGACCAGACCATCAATTTTAGGATTTAGTTTCCCTGATTCAATGTGTTTCCAAACTGAGCCTTTTCATGAATATTTCTATATCTAATTTCTTATTTCTAATATTTTAGACTTTCACTTTTGATTAATGGACTGTTTTTTTAGATAAAGGAGAAGAAACATACATTAAGAGATAATTGTTTGGCAAAAAATATATATGAACCGCAGCTACTTGAAATTTTACTTAGCCAATTTGGTAAGGCTATCTACGTGAGTTAACAACACTAGATAGGAACATCAAAGGTATCATTCCACAAAAGCTGAGAGAAGCCAAAAGACCTCAGATACTCTGATACAACTTTGAAGTTGTACTTAACATTGTCTCTTGACATTCCAATTAGCATACTGTCCGGTTTTTTATTCCTCGCTAAAAACTCTGGAGGAAGCGTGTTACATGCTAAAAAACGTGAGCCAGTTTTCTTTGACGCTAGCAAGTTAAAAATCTGAGAATGAGACATTTCATTTTTAAATGATTATTTCGATATAGTATGATAATTATTCCTTTCTAAGAAAAAAGAATAGAAAAGAAAAACATTTTCCGAAAAAACTAGGATGAGATGATCTCCCTCTCCTTGCAGCTATGTAATGGGATAAGATGTTGGAATGACTGTAATATCTCTAATTCTCTAACTAACAGAGAAAGGATCTTTCAAATCGACGGATTCACGACGTGAGCTATTTACTATTTTTTTTCAAGTAATTTGTTCAAAGAGAATATGTTAATTGATGATGAACGCTGTCTTGCAATGCAGTAGACGTAAGTCGGGTGTTGCTGCTCGACACAAAACCTTTAAATGTTTAAATCTTGGGCAGAGAATGAGAAACGTTTAATTTTCTTTCTTTTTATCGACTTTCTACGACTTTTTGTGACTTACTGTCTGACGCAAGGTTTTAGAACACTTTTTTTCTTTAGTGTTGAGCAAGAGAGAATTCTTCAATGTGTCAGCTTTTAATTTAGTTTAATCATTGCGCGAAAGCATCACATTCGACATTTATGTGCTAGCAATGTGCATGAAGTTTGTCACTACGCACATACCTAGCCTACCACGAGTTGGCAGAATATCCGAAGTACTAATCAGAGAGCCATAAATTCGATTCCTATTGCGAGCACTCTGATCGAGTTCTTTTTCTTCGAGTATACCCATGTTATTCAATCAAAATATCATATTTTAGAAAACTTCGATGTTTCTATAAGCGCTCCATTTTGTATACCGTATGTACACGGATGATTCCTAACATCACCATAGATCGTCATCCATAGAAGGTGTGCTTATTTAGTTTAAGAATGATGATGGTTGAGCTTACAAAACTCTATTTTTTCTCCAAGATTTTGAAGTTTTTTTGTGCTACGAAGCTAATCAAATGACCAAAAAATTGTGCCATTCGTGCGGGAATTTGCTTTAATATGTGTAAAGCGTGGGGATAAACTTGTTTAAAACCTATGGCCTTTGCAATTGTATCGACTTGATTTTCTTTTCTGGTTAGAATGGCGAAATAACGAGTAGCATCATTAAAAAGTGGACTTTTGCCACGGAAACAGTTGGGCGGGGAAAATATAAAAAGAGGCCTTCAATTATTTTAATTAAATCTTATAAGTTGTACTTTTCTTATTGCTAAGATACAGTCGATTCAGAATTGATTTCTACTTTGCTTCATGTTTGTTTGTCTGTCTGTCTATCTGTTGTCATAATTTTTTGTCTACTGGTTTGGCTAAGTAATCTACACTTTCCAATTTCAGCATCAGCGGGAATGGCGAGGAATTCAAGCTTCTTAATCTTTCTAGCCTCTTTGTATCTCATGGACTTCTCTACTGCTAAAAATACATGCAAGACAGAAGTTAACGTACCTGGTATGGCTCTCAAAGGATTCGTCTTTAAAAAGGTCCCAGTAACAGCTCCTCATGTGTGCGATATCACCTGCGAGAGAGAAACGATATGTCAAAGCTACAATTATGTAATTGGGGAAAAGTCCTGTGAATTGAACATCCGAACTAAGGAAGCAAGGCCCAAGAATTTCCAGCCAGATGGTTTACGCTTTTACATGGGACGCCTCAGTGATAGAGGTACGTATCCGGTCTAGTTTATTTTACATACAAATTTTTTTCAGTGAGTTCTTAGTAAAAACCCATCACTTTCCGAGAGCAAGTGTCTGATTGCTTTGTTATTAAATAGGGCCACTGTCTTAAAGCAAAATTCACCCTCCATTCTATATTAATAGCAGCTAAACTTCACAGCTCTTAATTATTATCATTCCATGTTTATCTCGCCCAGACAAATATATATTCATTATAACCATTAATGAAGTCATGTCTATATCGTAGCCCCCTTAGGATCTATTCCTGAATTACCAGCGTTATCGTGCCAAGAGATAAAACTAAGTGAAGGAAAAAGCAGCATCAGTAAAAAGTACTGGTTGGATCCAACTAATGTCGGGAGTTCAAAGTTGGTTTATTGCGACATGAACTTGGGAGGTAAGTCAGTATACCAAGAACAGAATTACTTTACACAGTGTTTGGACCTTGTCTTAATGTTTTCTTTCGATCAATTTCCAATTAGATATCGATGAATGTAAAAGCAGCAACGATGTCTGTGACAAGAATGCAAACTGCTCCAATACTGTTGGGTTTTATAATTGCACCTGTAAAGAAGGATTTACTGGGGATGGACACTCATGCTCAGGTAGAAAATTATCGTGACGCTATGGTACAATATTATATAATAAGCTCAGTTATGCACGCATTCTGATTGGTTGTCACTTATGATCTATTGGAGGACAGACGTATAGATGACGTCATCACATTTTGACGTCCTCTGTGATCTATTACTGAACAGACGGACGGCAACTTGGAATCTATTTGTTAATTCGATTCTCATGCGTAAATCATTCAAGGAATCTTTGCTAGCATTGACTTCTTTTGATTACTTTCCAATCAGATATAGATGAATGCAAAGACAGCAATACTGTGTGTGACGTAAATGCGAATTGTACCAACACTGAAGGTTCTCACAACTGCACCTGTAACGAAGGATACATTGGCGATGGTAAATCATGCCAAGGTATGAAATAGTAGCTTTGGCATCCAACAAATGATACAAAATAATCAAAAGAATTTTCCCAATTGAATAATTTGTAATTAATTTGATTTGAACTTTCATTGACTTTTCATACGCGTGAACTCCTTACTGATTAATCCAACGAAGTAATGTTTGCTTCAGTCGAGGAGTGCCAAAGTTACTCAAGTCTGACCAGTGCCGACCGTAAATCCACAATCCCCAAAGCCGGGTCTGCTTTGTGCGATAACTCACTCCCCCATGGCTGGTATCGTTTCCAAGGAGCTGCAGGAACAAAAATGCCAACCACTTGTCCACCAACTCATAGGTGTACAGCTGATATCTCAAGCTGGTTAAATGGAGTTCATCCCACAGTGGCTGAGGGTCAAGTTACCAGGCAGGTCTGCTTTCACTGGTTTTCAAACTGTTGTAGATGGTCCACCTACATCCAAGTGAGAAACTGTGGCTCTTATTACGTATATTACTTCTCTGGAGTACCAACATGTAATACCCGTTACTGTAGTACGGAATAGCTGTAGTGTATTGGGACAGCGGTAATTCGCAAATATCCGGGAACTTAAAGGTGTGTGCGAGAGCGTATGTTTTTAAGCCTTTGTAGTGTACCTTTGTGGCTTCACTACACTACTACAATATCTTTCTCTTGTTCTGAAGCAAGCGCCGATGCAACTTTACAGTAAATACTATAGGGATCTGTTTTTTTTATCATCGATCCCTTTTGGCGCCTTTAAATTTCTAAAGTTTTGGTGTTCCCATGTTTAAGTTTGTTTCTTGGTTAACTTACCGTTAAGCTTCCAGTAGTGATTGAAATGAAACATCTTCTAACAATTTTAAAAACATTGACAGCGGGACAGCGGTAATTCGCAAATATCCGGGAACTTAAAGGTTTGTGCGAGAGCGTATGTTTTTAAGCCTTTGTAGTGTACCTTTGTGGCTTCACTACACTACTACAATATCTTTCTCTTGTTCTGAAGCAAAGCGCCGATGCAACTTTACAGTAAATACTATAGGGATCTGTTTTGTTTATCATCGATCCCTTTTGGCGCCTTTAATTTCTAAAGTTTTGGTGTTCCGTATTCCCATGTTTAAGTTTGTTTCTTGGTTAACTTACCTTTAAGCTTCCAGTAGTGATTGAAATGAAACATCTTCTAACAATTTTACAAACATCACCCAGCAAAAGTTGATGAAACTACGAAAATATATTCACTAATTTATTATCAATTTTTGTTGAGACACCTACTTCACTGCAAAACCTCATGTAGACAAAAATAGAGAATTACCAGACAAATCACTTTAAGTTAAAGAGTTAAACAGCTCAACCAGCTTTACAACCAGAGTTTGTAATGCAATAGTCATCGAATCTATTCGTTTGATAGTTTACAGGGGAATTGGAATACAATAGAAAGAACAAGGAAGATGGTGAAATTTGAGCTTGGTCGTGAAGGAAAGAAATATGCTTTTCGTTTTTTCCTTAGGCGTGAGCCAAAGAAAAGATCTAACTCTCCACGATGAGTCGACCCGCGCAACCGAGATTAATTTTAATGATACTTAGGGAATAGGCGAGGGGTCAATTCTGGCTGGCCATGAGCAGATTTTCCGTGCAAAATATCAAAGGATAACATAAGAAACAACCACAGTCTAGCAAAATGAGCAAAAGAAAAAGTGAATCGTTGACAGAAGTCTGTAAAAGGAAAAAAAAGTGGAGGAAAGGAAAACTCCAGAATTTTTAAGCGCGTGTATCCTGTTGATTAACCATTTACTTTTGACCTTTACCAAAGAATTCATACGCTTTTAAAACACCGTGAATTACTTGTTTGTCAGTTTTTTACTCAACTGAAACATTTTGCTTCTGACAGCCTGAACATACGCCACCTGGTTCTTAAAATGGCCATGCATACGCAGACGTTTGAGCACTGCGTTAATATTTACCACCTTTCTTAGGATACGCGTCATAAATTGAATTAATTATGGTCTATTCAGATTTGTCGTTTGTCCAACGCTTGTATTGCAAACGAATTACGTCTTTCATTAACTATTTACACCCTAACATCAGTATGCATATTCTCCACACTGTTCTTTATACATTTCGTAAGGTGCTGACAAGGAGAATTTGTTTGCCAATCAAAAGGTTCCTTCCTTAGTGACCATTTCCTTTATTCTCATGACCTTAATGTGCGATTCAGGAGTGATATTGTAGGGAGAAATTAGATGCTGGTCACTCTTAGGGCTTCAAGGGTTAACGTAAGAAATGTTGGTGATTGTGACCTTTGGATGAAATACTAGGAAAGGTCCGTAAAGGAATGATCTTCACCTATGAGCCGCCCCAATTGAAGAAATTGCAGAAAGGAAGAAGAAATGGTACCTGGAAGGCACGGATCAAATCCCGTCGAAGTCTGAATTTTCAAGGCTCCTTTTCTGCAATTTCACAATTGTAGCTCACTTGTAACGATTATTTCTATACATGATAGTTTTTTTTTATTGGGGACTACAATTTCAAAAATGGCTGCATGTGTTTACCGTCTCATACGGCGCCACACCTTAACTTCACCATAACGTATAAAGGAAGCGTTGAGTTCCAAATGGAAATTAAAATAGTTTGCCGTCGCGGTTTTGGTGATTTCACGTTGCTGTTTTGTATAGGACGGCTCAGAAATGTACAAACGCACGTGCTGAGCTATTGTTCTGCTCATTATATCGCCGTCGTGGTTTGCATAAGGTCGCTATTATGAAACGGAGACCAACACATCCCGTTAATAAAAAAAGAAGGAATATGCCATGTATTGTATTTTATAGCATTCAGTCTTTCTTGAATTAAAGGTTGGGAATTAGCAATTGGACTATTTTAAACTCTGTTAACCTTAAGCAATTATGGTTGAATGACCCAATCACCCAAGTAAGTTCTTGGAGCCAAACCAACACATTCCACTTGGCGTGACAACTTCTGTTTGCCTCCAGAAGCTCTTCCATTGAAAAACAAATTGTCACATACTTGTTATGCATTATAGAATTTTAAGAGAGAGAGAGACAGAGATAGAGAGAGTACTCCTATCGAGGCTCAGTCAAAAGCCTAGCGAGATAAAATAATGTTCATCAAGCCTCACTTTTCAAACAGTTTCTCCTCACCTGTAGCAAAGCTCATGATTAGGAAACAGAGTGAAAAATTTGAATGTTGATCTTAAGGTCAAAATTGAACCCGGCAGGCCGATTGTGGAGACATCCGCTCACCTTGAGGCAAGATGCTTCTATCGATTTTCTCACATCTACGCTGTGGAAAGGAATTTTAGAATTCTGAAATAGTGAATTTTCAACGACCATGAGTTTCCCGTGCGTTAACTTTCGGTGTCAACGTGACAGAAAGGAAGTTAATCAGTACTTTTGTCAACAAGCGATTTGCATGTCAGTATCATATTTCGTACGTGTCTCGGCTGGTTCCTTGGCATCACTCTGCCAAACAAACAAAAGCATTACATGTAAGTTCAATTCTAACAACGTCTCGTTATGTCCAAAAAACAAGATCGCTCTTCTGTTGGTGATGTCCCCAGCTGTTCACCTAAGTTTGTTTGTCCAGTATCGTTCGTATGTTTATTAATCTGCACCGCTGCCTTGGTTCGTGTTGAGATCATAAACCAGCGAGTTCATCACGTTGAAGATGTCATAGCGGAAGTGAGGCAAATACATGAATCCATAATTAAGGATTCTAGTGAAGGAGCAAGCTTCCAAGACTCTGGAAGGACTGGTTCTGTCGGGAACTTTGATAGCAATATTTCTAAGGAGAGCAAAGATATGATCGAAGGTAATTTTTTTCCTCTAATCAACTTACAATTTAAAGGATCCTCGAGCTTATCCAAAGCTATTGCACTACCTTTTGCTCTCTGTTTATTACATGCCAGTACCGGCGATTTTGTCTATCTTAATGATACGAAATAAATTTTTCCTGGCGAAATATTTTCCACTCCCTCAATTTTTTTTCCGGGGGCTTTCTTTGGCGATCATGGTTGCAAAAGTCCAAGAGCAGTTGAAAGGATCAACATCATGCAATCGATCGTTCAAAGTACTTCCTTTTTCCCTCTATATCTATAATTTGGATCAATTTTTCGATTAATTTTTTCATGATTTAATTGTTATACAGCTAAGCCCTCCAAGAATATAAAGGGTCCGTCTTTGATTGAATAATTGACAAGAGTGGGACGTCTGCTATTCATCGTGATAGCAGCACAAAAAGGTCAGGGATGGCGGAGCGTTTTGAAACTCGAGGGGATTGGGGTAGGGGTGTTCATCGAAGACCATGCTATGTCCTTACTCAAATTTCCCAAGATACCATCCACGTCAAACCTCTGGCACCCTTGTGCTGAATGTGTTACATTCAAGAGAGCAGTTCTGATTGTGGTGTTTTCAGCCCCTTTTTTTAAAAACTACTGAATAAACGTGAAGTGTTCTTGCGTGACTCAGGGAAAAGTTGAGCCTTTTTCAGGTTCTCGTTCAAAGGAGGCTATAGAAAAAGCGAGAAAACGAAAATCGGTGATTGCCCGAGAAAAGGTGGTCTCCTTTCACTAATTTTCAGCGACCGAAGGTTTACAGGGCTTAGCAAAAACCGGGTAACTGTTAGTTAGAAGAATCCGGTTTGGAACCAAACTTGGTTTAATGAATAAACCGCTTTTTAGATTTTTATGTAGTGAAGAGATTTGAAAGTGTTCCCAGCTTTAATTTTCAAATACTTTTTGAAAAAAAACGAACAAATTCTTTCCAGTTCACACTAGAAGAACCCGTCGCCACTCTTCATCTCAAAAACGACCTATCCCTGACGGAGTTACTATAGAGGTGGTTAGAAGTGAGATAAACAAGACCATAAGCTCATGGTCACCACAATCATTTTGTTCGCCCAAAGAACAAATATGTGCACAGGGACCACCGGGATTGCAAGGACCTAAAGGATCACGTGGAAGGAAGGGTCCGCGTGGATCTACGGGAAGGAAAGGGTTACGTGGTTTTAGAGGAGAACCAGGGCCTTCAGGAAAGCAGGGAAATATCGGACCGCCGGGTCAAAAGGGTGCGCAGGGTGCTAAAGGTATCCCGGGTCTCAGGGGGCCACCCGGTACTAAAGGAGAACCTGGGGAATCCATTTCTCTCCCCTCAGTTGTCGTTTCTCCAGTTAAGCAAACAGTCAGAGAAAATCAAAGAGCAGCGTTCCAATGTTCTGTCAGTGGAAATCCTCAACCGACTATGATGTGGGTACGAGGAAATGGTACTCATCTGCAAAGTGATTCTCACCTTGGCGCTCGGGGTGGGAGATTAGAAGTCCATAACGTGACTCTTAGCGACGCGGGAAAATACACTTGCGTTGGAAGGAATATCTTGGGTTCCGAGAGCAAGTCTGCGAAGCTAATTGTTGAAGGTAGGAATAGGTATTGACGGTATTGAATGTGAGAGTTAAGCATAAACGAATCTTTTTGCTTTGTTTTCCTCGAGGGTGATATAGCAGTTCTCAGCAGTCTTCCGCGCTTCTTGAATTATTTTGCATGAAAATCCATTGAAAGAATTACGGATGCAAACTTTTGGATGCAAACTTCTGGATGCAAACTTTTGGATGCAAACTTTTGGATGCAAACAATTGGATGGAAACATTTGTTTCGTGAACATTTTAGTTTCGTGACAATAAACATGACCATAAAGTTAGCCGATGCGATTAAGTTTTCATGCAGAAGTTTTCCGAGTATTCAATTGCTGACTTCAGCCTGATATCATTTTGAACTCCACGGTTTAGAGAGAAAAATACTTTCGTTCTTCAATCAAAGCCCGTGGTTCAGTCCAAGTTATTTCAACTCAGTTTGATCAACATTTTTGTCTCGCTAGCCAATCAAATGTTTTGGTCCTGCAATAAATCGCTCAGAAAGCGATATACGCGATGGTTACCGACAAGAGAAAAGTACGTGGAACAAAAACTCTACTACATCCAATATTTTCCCTTCCAATTCTTTTTTCTATCGCCGCAGGAAAGACTGGGTGTGAATTTATTTCGTTATCTGCTTACTACTATTTTTTAATATCAATTATTTAATTTACTTCCATTTAGCCAAACCACAAGTTCGACTTTCTTCAGGACCCATTCATGCAAGGGTGGGACAAAACATCACTTTACCCAAATGTCACGTGACCGGCTTTCCGAAGCCAGTCGTGTCGTGGAAAAGATTGACCGGTGCCTTAGCTAAAAAGAGAGCAGTTTATAATCAGCAAGATTTGACAGTGATTGATGTGCAAAAAAACGACACTGGACCGTATGAATGCAGAGCCAGGAACCATCTCGGAGAAGCTTTCGCAGTTACGACCTTGTTTGTTTGGTCGGCACCAAAATTTGTCACGAAGCCACCAGACATGGCCACTAATGGGGTTGGTGGGTCAGTGTCTCTAAACTGTTCCGCCATAGGCGAGACTGTTCCTCTGATTTCTTGGAAACGAGCAGCGGGGGCATGGGACGAAAAGAGAATGAAGGTAGACAAAGGAACCCTAACTATTTCGGTTCTGAGAGAATCAGACTCAGGAATTTATGTGTGCGAAGCCAAAGGTCCCCAATTTACAATTGAGGCAAGAACATTTCTGAAGGTGAAAGGTTAGTTGAACAGCGTTCCATATTGTTGTTTTTAACATACATGTTCGGCACACACTCTTTGGCGGTATCACGCGATTTCATCCTTTTCTTTTCGGTTTTCTGTGCACTGAATTTTAGTTAAACACGTTAAATCTTTCCTAACTGCTTTTTAAATGAAACCCTGTCAGCTGAATGACGACCAAGATCTCAGTAACTGGAACAATTTTTTCCACACGAGTCCGGTTAACGTAATTGTAAAGGAAATTGAACCCTCTTATTTTAATTACCGAAATCTCAGCTCGCCATGGTGGCAGGCCAGGCTGCATCCCCATTAGTCTGAAATGAACTCAGAATTAATACCACTGATTGAGCTGGCGCAGTTACTTGTGAACAGGCCCTATTTTTTGCGCCAGGCCGTTTCTTAGTATGCAATATATGAAAATTCAAACAATTTTTTCTTCAATCTTAAATGTTTAGGAAATTCTTGATATATAATTTTTTTGTTGGAGTGTTATTTGTCCGAGTGTGGTGCAACTATAACCAAAGTAATAATGGCCGGGGATGGTCAATCACTTATCGGATATTACGTCATTTTCTTAAAGCTCCCCTCTCTTTTACACCTGATGGCCGTAAAGGACGACTTGGTATCATTCAAAAATTCACCGTCCCAAGATCAGCCAAGTATCTCATTAAAGCTTTGGGCGCTCGGGGAGGGGCGCATTCCTACGACTATGGATACAGACCAGGAACCTATTATGGCGGCCATGGGGCAGCGATAGAAGGGACGTTTAGACTGACCAAAGGCACTATTCTAAGTATTGTTGTAGGGCAGAGAGGAGGAGATTCAGTGGAGGTAAAAGGTGGCCAAAGCACTACTATGACAGCAGCTCAGCTTGGGCTGTCTGTTGAAGACAATGCTGGCACTGGGGGAGGAGGAGGGAGCTTTGTTTATACCGCAACCAATGTGCTGTTGTTAGCTGCCGGAGGAGGTGGAGGCGCATCTGGTGGATATAATGGTGTGGACGGTCAGGCAGGAACAAGTGGAACCAGTAGTGTGGGGAACGATCCGTCACATGTGAAGAAGGGTGGTACCACGGGGCAACCAGGAGAATGTAACAATGATGACGCTAACTACCATGGGGGAGTGGGTGCGGGTTGGAATGGCCAAAGCTGTTCAAGAAAAGGATCTGAGCACGGAGAGGGAGGTGGGTCACGTGCTCAGGGCTGGATCGGAGGTCAAGCAGGAGGTATGAACAGTGGAAATAACGGCGGACCAGCACCAGGAGCAGTGGGAGGGTTTGGTGGAGGAGGAGGAGGAGCAGAGGATAACGGTGCATCGGGTGGAGGGGGAGGGTACTCAGGTGGGGGCAGCGGTACCCGAGATAAACAGGCCGGAGGGGGAGGCGGTTCGTATTGCGCCGGTGAAAATTGCCACGGTGTGACTGGCGGCAATGTAAATGAAGACGGCCTGGTGCAAATTATAGTTATATTCGACTAGAATCAGTAATCCGATATCTTCTAAGTTCCATTTTAATTGATATCAGCTTTGAGCTGTTTTGAGTGATGCGAATAGACTGTTCTACAAAATATAGCGTCGCCAAAGAGCCTTGCTGAGATGACATCACAAGAATTTACACCGTAAAAAGACTTTCACTTGAAATAGGACTTGAAACAGTTCAGAACTTTCATTTTTAGGAGAAACATGAGAGCGAGTGAAGAATACCGTCTATCATGATTTGAGTGCCACTCAACGGTCCGTATCTCTTAAAATCGTTTCATTTCTGAACTTTGACAAGGACGCGTGGAAAGTAGCAAACAAAAAAAATAGGAGTAGATAAGTATATGCTTAAATGAAATAAAAAAGATTTAAAAGAAGGCAGTTATTGGTGAAGAAGTCGCAAGACATAATACGTCTCCGATGGAAGTAGTAAAATGTGACGAATTCGAAGTGTCCTTTCTGAAATTTGAGTCGCTCGTGATTTAATAAGAGGAGACAATATGTGGATTTTCGTTTATCCAAAAGATTGTCTAAATAGTTTTGAAAAATCAGCAAGTCGACTAACCATGTTAAATTCGATTTTTTTCCTATAGCAAAGATATAAAAGTAGGATATAACTCAGCCAATCCATACTTTGTCTTAGGATTTGAAAGGCTTATGATACACAATGCCAAAACTAGGTTTCCCATCGTCTAAAATTAATGTTTTTTATTTCACCTGAGCGATTTGTGTTCACTCCGAGTATACAATAAATGGTTTTTAATTGAGAGTAATTCTGTTCATTGAGTTCTGTGCCAGTCGTCCACTAGGGGTAGATTGTGAATCAATGGAAAAAATAATCAGTGCACCTCGGCTCTACAAAAGGGTCTCAACGGGATTAACCTTTAGCAGTAAAACGGCAAAAACAGAGCCGTTTAAGGCGTAAAAACCGACAAATGCAAAGGAATATCCGAGATTTTACCGCTAGCCGTAAAATGGGCTAAATTTTAACCGGTAGTAATAAAAGCCATCACCCCATTGAGATCCTCCTACCACTTGCGCTTGTCTGTTTATCACCAAAGATATGATTCACAGTTTTCCCTTGTGACTGCTATTTACGTGTATCGAGATTACACAAGTTGTTATCGGGCCCGAGCACCGGCGGGAAGGTGGGAGGCTCTCGTCTTGTGATACTTTTATACCTTGAAATAGGAGAAGAGGGAATTATACATTCATCACTTTTGGAAGTAAAGAGTCAATACAACAACAACAACAGAAATTGTATTTGCATTTTTCTATTTATGTTAAAACGTCTTCATAAACTACTCATGAAGGAGGCTCATTCGTTTTAAAATATCGTTATTTATTCCGTAAGTAATAAATAAATCCCTAGATCCTTGCTTTAGTCAGGCGCCATTGAAGGAAACTCAATGAATCTTTATTTGAAATAAGATCATTTCAATGAACAGGACTTTAGAGAAAAGATATGCAACAAATGCGTATCTGATCGTCCCAGTCCAATGTAGCCCTGAGAAGGACATATGTTGTCGGTTGTTGTGAGCGACGTTCGATAAGCTACGCAGAAATTGTCATCCTAGTCATTAGAGGCAATGCACGCATGATTGAACCTAGTTGTGTACTATCCAGTACTAACTTTCATCGGTCAATATAGGCAGTGGGAACCTGGTAAACACTTTCTTCAACATGGCGGACGAAGCTGATGAAATAATTACGACTGTGATAGTATGACAAAACATTGGTTTTCTTGCACGTAATAATGAGTTGAAAGTACACATTCAATTTATAACAACATGAGCGAGCAACAGGCAATTCCAGACCGTCCAGCAACTTCAAAAACGCCTTCAATCACTCGGTTTATTCGCTACGAGCATCTTATCGCTGGCGTGTCTGGAGGAGTTACGTCAACTCTTGTGCTGCATCCGTTGGACCTGATTAAAATAAGATTCCAAGGTAAGATTGGGTAATAAATATAACATCTTACAATAGACACACCAGGTTTTAGATACCCTCCATTCACTAACGAAGCTGCCTTCCGCCGAATTCGGAAATCACCATCGACTCATCGTGACGTTAGAATTGTAAGTGTAATAAATCAACTTGAGCGTTAATCGTTATGCAAAACATATATGTGTGAATTTATTTCGGCACTAATACAACTATTTCATAAATGTTTGCACCTCTTTCAATACAGTAAATTTCATACATTTTTGTAGTATAATTTGACCCGAAACTGTGAGATGAAATAATCGAAACTTCCATCACATACAAGACTACTTGTATTTGTCTTTCGCTTACTTTAAAACCATTCAAAAAAGGAAGTGATCCACAATAATCCAGTTAGGAACATTTGGAATGTTTTTTGCAACTCTTTGAAACTCTCAGTTTCGTTAACTGAAAACTCTCGTTGTTTAAACTTAGTGACGTGTTAAAGTTCACACGGACGTGACGTGTTGACGTGTTAGTGACGTGTTGTTTGACCTCTAATTTAAAAATACCTTCGTTGTGATATAGTATCAGAGAGCATACATGCATGAAACATTTGCCAGAAAGATATTACCAATATTATTATTTCTCAGTTAATGATGGAAGTGGAAAGTTACCAGCTTACAGAGGACTTACTGATGCAGTGAAGTCAATTGTGAGAACAGCTGGCTTAAAAGGATTATATCAGGTACTTTGATTTGTAAAAAGTATTGCAATACTGGCACAGTTTGTGCATTATTAATTTTGAGGGTTCGCAGCAGTTTTTCTTTTAGCCCTTGAAACCACTTTTGAAATCTGACTATAAATTGTCCTTACTGTTCACCATAAATTCTGTTTTTTTTTCTTATCCTGAGAATGTGGTTAGAAAGCAAGTAATACCTCTTCATTTAAATTGTTTTTCTTCTTATCACTTTTTTTCTCAACAATGTATTTTTATTCTAAGGAGAATATACTTTTTAATTGTTCCTGGAATGAAATGTTTAAGATCTGCAATGGTTTCATTTTACTTGGTGATAATGGTTTTAAGTTTTAAATGATAGTATTATCATCAATACATCGTTCTATATATTTTCTATGTCCAAACATGCATTTCTATAATTTATCATATATGAGGCTAACAACTACTAGATACTAATTGGCTGAGATAGAGGCACTCCTACTTAATGATAAGAGATAATTTGCTCATGGATCATGAAGGCATGTTTTCTTGATCCTTGCTGCCTGAATGTGATTAGCAGCAGGTTTCTTTTGGATGGGAAATGAGGATTTGAAGTGCGCCCCGAGTGCAGTTAATCCTAAACAAAAATTAATTTGACATGAAATCACTGGGATGTGTTGTGTTTATTCTCTTTAATTTGTGCCTTATAAAACTTGTGGGTGTCACTTTCATACATAAATTAATCTCTAAGTTAGGTCCTTCCAGTTTTGAGTGTGTAGTTGCAATCTTTACCCATGGGAAAACTGTTTTCCTTGTGTCCAGACTCAATTGTATTTAATGTATCTTTGACTGAGTAATCCACCTAACATGCATTCATCACAAACATTCTTTCCTTCCATCTGAGTCCTCTGTGGATATGTAATCGCATGGGCCTGAAGGCAATTAAAAATTAATTTCATGCATATTTTTAAAGTTTTTCCAAAATTGCCTGAGTCGTGGAGTGATGAGGGCAATTTGGGGAAAAAAATGCCCTCTGTCTCAGCCTATCAGCATTCAGTAATTTTGCCCTGCATGTGATGAGAAAAATAGACAAAGTTTATTAATTTTATCATACTAAATCCACAGTTTTCCAAGTGTTATCTAACCTAACTATGGTGTGAGGAGACTCTCAAATGTTTTTTTTTTTTGCCTGGAAGATAATATATTTTTTTGTCTTTTCACAAACAGGGTGTGACACCTAATGTTTGGGGAAATGGATCAGCGTGGGGTCTGTACTTTTTCAGGTAAATACTTGAGCACAAACAAAATTCCATAAACTTACCTCACTCTCAAAGTCTTTAGAGTATTATTTCACCAAAGAAATGTTTTCTTTTTAAATGTGCAGCTCACATTTGATTATTATTATTTTTCTTTAACACAGTTACAACATTTTAAAAGCATGGATGCAGAAAGATAGTGATAAGCCTTTAGGGTTTGAGAGGCATCTGATAGCAGGAGCTGTGGCAGGTGAGGGATTTTAGTGTTATAGTTGGAGCCACAGGTAGCTCCAGTCACAACAAATACTGTGGTTTACCATTTTGTCTCTAGAGTTGAGGTAGCGCAAGTCTGTTAGAGCAACATATTCTGATAAATGAGGCACTTTTTGTTTTAAGCTGAAACAGTATTTTCTGTTCCTTTGAGGCAAGCATCAGCATTTGCAGTCTGTTTGAAAATGAAACCTGCAGTGTGGGTTGTCTCTATGTACTAACTTTTGACATAGTGCAAGAGATTGTTCACCCAAACTCCACTAAAAGGAAGGATCTGCAAAAAGAGAGAAAAGAAATAACAGTTCTCCTGGTGTGGAAAGGCACTTGGAAATTTTTACTAAAATTATTGCTAAGCGTACATAATTATACAGCTGTAAAGAGAATCCTTGAGGTGACATGGGCTTTGAGGTGGCTATTCTGTGAAAATTATTATAAAGCAAATCAAAAAACCAAATCAGTTCATTTGAGGGAATTTCAGTTTTTTGGAGAGCCACTCCTGTTGATCTGTTACGTGTAAGTTCTCTGAATTTACTTCTGATCAATCTGTTTTTATCAATCAGTTTTATTTACTTGTAACTGACCAATGACAATGTCTCAGTCAATACTATGTACAATACCATGTACAATATCGTTTGTGAAGGAATGTTGGTCAGTTAAATCTCTGGTCACAGTGGCAGGCTTTTCCTTTTCTTCCCAGCTTTCCCCCTGTTTTTGGTTATTTTGGTTATTTTGCTCCTTCCCCCTCCTCCTTTCCCCTCCTCCTTCCCCCTCCTCCTTTCCCCTCCTCCTTTGCCCTCCTCCTTCCCCCTCCTCCTTCCCCCTCCTCCTTTCCCCTCCTCCTTCCCCCTCTCCCTCCTCCTTTCCCCTCCTCCTTCCCCCTTCCCCTTCCCCCTCCTCCTTTCCCCTCCTCCTTCCTCCTCCCCCTTCCCCCTCCTCCTTTCCCCTCCTCCTTCCCCCTTCCCCTTCCCCCTCCTCCTTTCCCCTCCTCCTTCCCCCTCCTCCTTTCCCCTCCTCCTTCCCCCTCCTCCTTCCCCCTCCCCCTTTGCCCTCCTCCCTCCCCCTACTCCTTCCTCCATAACTCAAACTTGTCCTCCTTAGCTTAACCCCTTACTCTCAGAAGTGATCAACATATAACTTCTCCCCATAATATCCTTACATTATCCGGCAAACAGGTTATAAGAATACACAAACACATCCTAATCTTACACCAAATTCTCATCCCTTATTTACAAGGAAATGTGTAGGGGTTAGAGGGAAGAATTCACAATCAGATCTTGGTGGTTAAAGGGTCAATGAAAAAAAACCAACATGCTAAATATCCTTGTAAATGTTAGCTGTAAACCTGTTTTTAAATTGTACATTGTATAGTATTTGCACTTAGTCAGCTTTTGTGCCTAATGGAATGTGTTCTTTTTATCACTAGGAATAGGGACTTTGTCAGTCACAAACCCAATATGGGTGGTGAAAACTCGCCTATGTCTCCAGTACTCTGATCCCCTTGCAGGAAAAACACAAACACCACAGTACAAAGGAATGTTTGGTAAGACATTTTTTTTTGCAAAGATGAATGACACCTTTTTACCCAAGAGAGAGGAAAGAAAAGTGAACCCTTTGCACCCTTACATCAGTATGTATTTTCCCCGTACTGTTCTTGATAAATTTTGAACTTGCCACTTATGAGGAGAATGTAGTTAAAAATCAAGAGCTCTTTCAAGTTTGTGATTATGTCTTCTAGTTATTCATAAGCCTAAAGTTTGATTCAGCACTGAATAATAAATTGTTTGATCCTTTTCTCAATCACAATTTCACTGTGAGGGAATTGAACCTGAGTCAAGATGCTGGTATATGTAATTGTGCTCACCAACTCCCCATATAAATGAAATCCAGATGCATGACTTATTTTGTACTCCTTGTTCTCTACAGATGCTCTCTTAAAGTTGTGGAGACATGAGGGGTTGAGAGGTTTATACAAGGTAACCTTGATATGTATCTGTTGACAGCTTTTTGATTGACTGATCAAGTTAAAAATTAAGATACAGTAATTTTGACTGTGTGTACCGGACTTGTTGTGAAGTATGCAGGGTACTGGTCTCTAGTAAAGTCAGTCAAGTCCAAAAAGTCACCAGCAGTGTGTACTGCACCATGTGTATGTTAATACCTTGGGCTTAAGAAAAAAATGGAATAAAATGTACTACAATAAAGGAATTAAAAAATATATATACGATCTTTAGTTTTTATACGTGCATAGGAGATCCATCCACCTATCTTACAGGTGTAGGTCTGCATGATGCAATCACAATTATGTCTTTGATATTCACTTTTGTCACCTTATGTAAAACATTTTGATATTGTAGTTGGTATATTTTGGTCGCTGGATATGCACTAAGCCAACAGTGGTTTTTAAACTTCCTTAGAAAAAGGAGGGGAACAATCAAAAAGAGAAATAGGGAAGGAAAGAGAAGCATAAACATCAGTCTTAGAGTCAGGAACCATACAAAGCTATTTGAGCCTTATTGAAGGCCTCACCAACTTGGTGTTGCTAAGATAATGGCATTGTGAGTGATTAACCTGAGTTTATGTGTTTGGATGGAACATGAAGTTTGCTCATATCATTATATTTTACTTGACCAGGGTTACATTCCAGGTATTTTTGGCGTATCACACGGAGCACTACAATTCATGGCCTATGAGGAGCTGAAGAAAGGCTACAGTCAATATTTTGGAACACCAATCAACAAGAAGCTGGTGCATACTGTCTGCATGTGTTTGTATAGTTGATTGTATACGTGTTAAAGCTCACAAATTCAACCGAGTTAGCAAACAAGAAACTCTTGAATTTAATCCTTGATATACAAAACATGTGAAGTGCTCTGATCATGTTCATAGCTTAGGGTGGATGGTTGAAGTGTTGTCATTTACTGGAACGAAACTTTACTTTCAACTCCCCTCTCCACCCAGAAGGATTGATAAGAATCAACCCTTTGCCCCCCCCCCCCCCCCAAGATTGACTGACATTTAACTTCTCCTTACAATATCACCTCTGAATCACACATGGAGGTCATGAGAATAGAGGAAATATTCAGCCACTGAAAAAGTTCTTGACTGTTTAAGAAATTCTCCTTGTTAGTATCTTTGGAAATGTACAGAGAACAGTATGGAGAAGATGGATATTGATGTTAGGGTGTAAAGGGTTAACACGAACACATGTAGTGGCCAGTAGCGAATGTAAAGGGAGAACACGAGAGAGGGAAGGGTGGGGGAAGTTTTTGGCTTCTCATCTTGAGTAGTAGTCCTCCATGACGAGCTTCAGCATTTTGAAGCTACAACTGACGTCCAAAAGACAACCTCTATTACCTTTGTTGTACATGTGGCTGGTAGAAAGGTACTAATAGGATGACGTTTATTATTATGTAACCGTGGGTTATCTTGGGAATCACTCTGAAGTGCTGAAAATATAGTAGTTCTTTTTTTATATAAAGTGTTTTGCTCTCTACTTTATGTTTTGCTAACTTTCATTTTCTTCATAGAGTTCAACTGAGTACCTTGTAATGGCTTCACTGTCGAAAATTTTCGCCGCAACAGCGACATATCCTTATCAAGTGGTTAGAGCAAGACTTCAGGTTAGAATGGGAGATTCATTAGCAAATTATTAACCTTTCGAAATCGATTTTGTTTTACTTTTGTATGCTATTATCTTGAAATAAACTTTTAGTTTAAGGGTTTTTTTTTAGTTTTCAGGCCGGTGATCTCATCGGTTGGTTTACTGGACTCCAGGTTGATGTGGCCTGTGCTCGAGCCTCGAGCCTCAACTAGGTCATTGTATCGATTCCTTGGGAAAAGATTCGTTAGCCCCACACATCCCCCCTCCCCGTGGTTCAAATTGGCACCAACAAAAGGCCAGGGAGACCCTTCAATGAGGATAAATACCAAATCTCACGAGGGAGAGTAGCTTTCACCCTCTTTCACTCTCTCTATTCCTCTTAAGAAACACGGATCCAAGATTGTTATGAGAACGCACGGCGCGAAAGTTTTGATCCTGTGCCCATAAAATTAGCTAAAACCAATTGAATATATCTGGAGCTGTCCCTGAGCAAGTCTGATTTGTTAAATCGTTCAGTATTTACTGTTTCCTGCTGTCATTTATTGTTCATGAATTTTACTTTTCTAAAGAATCAGTACACGATGGTGGAATACAAAGGCGCGTTGGATGTGATTAGTAAGACTTTCAGGTAAGTTGGAACTTGACATGAGGACTTAAAGTTTTCGATACGTTATAGACTAGCTTTCCATCTCTAGTTTCAAACCCTCTACATTAAAGAGAGGTACATGTTTTGCCCGTTTGAAACAATTTGACAAAGAATTGGACCGAAATTGGCGGAGAACTGAAACCAGCTTGTTTGAGAACTGGATCCAATTTTCGGATTGACTTACGGCTTAGTGGTAAAGTCCACATTTTTATGAAAGAAGGTATTCTTCTTTTTCTGGCCTCTCCTCACGGCAGGTTCTTTTCAAAATCTTAGGCATGAAGGAGTAACAGGATTTTATAAAGGATTAATTCCCAGTGTCCTCAGGTAAGGCTAAATGTTAAAAATAAATTTGATGATACAAGTAGATTTACTTGTTAGTTTTATGTGTTAAACCGCAATGTATAATCTAGAATTGGCCAAGAGGGCTTAGTGGGCTCCCATCTTTAATTTTAGGTGGCACTTTGTAAAGGAAAGGGTCTTAAGAGATGGGGTACCCCCATAAGGTGTTTGAACTTATTTGCACCCTCCAGTCTGTGAGTAACTGGGAAGAAGAGACAGGCGATAGATACATTAAGAGGCTATAAAATTTGGAGTAGGTGTCATGTCATTGTTTTCGTCAGTTACATGTTCGAATACTGTGAAATTATTAAGATACTTATCGTTATCACAAATGTTTGTGCCCCACCTGATATGTTAGTGTAAGTTTTAGCGGTTTTTTTGTTTTTGGAAATCCAGCAAAGGAGCGCTTTAGAAGAAACCCTGAAACTGTAATATATGTAAAACGTTCATTGTCGATTTTACTGTGTATTGTGCGTTTGATTGTTGTTGATTTTGTTTCTTTTTAGAGTAACGCCAGCATGTGCACTTACATTTGTGGTGTACGAAAACGTTATTCACTTCCTTCTGCCGGACAGATGACATCGACAGGATAAATGATGGAATCCGGCAACGGGAGACGATGGGCAATACTACAGCACTTGGTTTTATTACCAGACTTTATTCTGCAACAGTTCCGACTGATTCATTTATGGAAAAAAATATATTAACCGAGCGAAGTTAACCGCCCAGTGCGTTTACACATTTTATCGATAACTTCATTTACCAGCGGAATGTGAATATGAATTTTTTCAGAGCAACTTTTGTACATCAATGCAAAAGGTATCCATTTTTACTATCAGGTCTTAAGGGTAACAATGATTTCTCCCATTGTTCTTTTATAAAGAACCTTCCCCCTCCCCTTTTTCCCTTGTCCCATACGGGTATCAAATTTATGTACATCCCCTGTTCCTTACGTTAAAATCTTTTTCAATAACTTTCTCCATTTGTTACTGAATTGTTGCGATGTAAAGTTAAACCCAGTTTTTATTTATGGCTCTGTTTTTACCTCACAGCGACATTTCCTTGTTGTTGTTGTTATTTTTCCCTGGTTATTGACATTAACTTCAGTAAAAAACGGTGAAAGCTACTCTTTCGCGATCGCTATTAGATGAGTGGTATCGAGAACCTACTCCGACCCATGGACTACACTGCCCTTAACGCTTACTCGTGTTCGTGTTATGAAACTCAGCTAAAAATAGTCCGTGTAAGTTAAATTTATTTACAAAGAGATACACAGTTTTTGTTAAATAATGAGATAATTTATTTACACCACTCAAGAAGCTGAGCCACAATTGACCCAGCTCATATCACTTTGCTTTGAAGAGTCTATTTTTATACGTTGTCAAGAAACTCGCCTTGCTTTGCCTCATTTGCTTTGTGTTCAGGTCTCTTATTGTAAATTAGAGACAAATGAACATCAAATGATTGGAAGACTAGTCTTAGTTAGAATATTGAAATATCAGGCAGTAGCCTTTGGGGGTTACGGTGAGAGTGGGTTTCTTTTCTGCGCTTACTATTTTTCATAGGATTCTTTGAATATGTTTGCATTATATAAAAGGAAAACTTCGCCGAGAGAAACTGTGATTTTGATTTCAAATCTAACATTCCTGTAAAATATTTTGGGTGATGTACTTAAACGGTGTAAAAAGTTGTTTACAACTTGTGTTTACTTAAGCTACTCTAAATACTTTTTTTTAACACATTGCAGTTCTGAATACCTTTCTTTTAGCGTGTTTATGTTGTAGGCAAACATTAACCATAGTAAAACAGGTCAACTTTTAAAAGCTACATGCAGCTTTTAAACTTAATAATACACATGCAAGTTGCACTCGCCTTACGGCTTTATGCAATTTGGTCAGTCGTTTAAAATTTTCTCGTTCTGTTTTATCCCAAATTGCACTGGAAACGCGTGATTACCTGTATAAAATTATTTGAACAAATTTTGTCTCGAATAAATGAAGTGCCCGTGCGCTTAGTTAAATAAGCTGTATAGGGACACTTTGAAGCCATTGCGTAAAGATCTTTAACTTGGATTCAAAATAAGCGTGAGATGTAAGCGATCCAATAATTTCAAATGAATTCTGGTCGATTCGGACACATTTAACACACGGTTACGCAGGCTAAACTATTGAATTTTGCTTACTGTGTGTCTGGAAATTGGTTCAACGTTTCAAAATACTGAGTTACTATTATTACGTTAACTTTACGTAATTTCATAGGACATCGGATTTCGAGAGTCATCAATTTTTTTACTATGCCTATAACGAAAGATAGCGCCTGTTTGTATTACACTGACCAACGCTAAAATAATCATGGTTTATAATTAGAGCAACAGAAGAATGAAAAAAACGAAAAAAAAAACATAAAAGGCTCAAAAACCATAAGCTTGAGAGTTTGTCTTGCAGATTTTAGTTGAAGATTACTTTAAAGATCCTTCGGGCAATTCTCTCTTCAATGACAAAGGCTATCCGATGAGAATCATCATTCTAATGAAATAAATACTTGTTTGCCACCAAAGTTAAAATCTGATGATAATGTTTAGGATAGAGAAGAAAGGTTGAATACCTTACATGTCAAAACTTTATATACATGTATCTACGGAGCGATTTGTGAGTTCTCTTTCTACGTGAAGTATATTTGCTTTACATTCAGTCTGTACCACAATAGCGTGAGTTACAACTAGGTGGGTTTTTAAGTTTGTAGATAAAGTAGGATCCACAGTTTTTTACAAAAAACATTCTTGTGTATCGGCAACCAGTAGAGCGATCACTAAAGCAGACCTTCCTGAAAACTTCACCATCTTCCACTGTAGGATGAACATCATCCAACCAGCCTGACCAGTCTGTACCACATCTGTATGCTGGCACACGTGTTGTGGGCATTTTTGTTCCTGCAGCTCCCACAAAACGATACCATCCCGTGGAGAGTAAGTCGTCACATAAGGTTGGGTTGTTTATCGGTGTTACGTAACTGCTCTTTCTCTTGGCATCACTCAGGTTTTGATAATTATGACATGGGTCGGCTAGTAAATGAAATAAACATTATAAAAAGGTTGTAGTAACAAAGGTAACATTTTTTGTTGACATTTTTCAAGTCAATCAGTTCGACATCAACTAGATGGGACTAATGTTTTACAAGAACAACTATGCGTTAAGTAAAATTTAAAGAAGAATTTGGATTGGACAGTGATGATGCAAATAGGAACTATAATAAAATGATAGCATTATACAGAGTTATGTGAACTCTTGCTTTAATCGCCCATCAAAGCCCTTTAGTTGTTTGGACCTCAACTGGAAGCTACCAAACGCGTTTAGGACATTTTTGATCTTCAGTTCCCAAACAACGATACCAGCCCAGAGGTATTTGGTAGTAACACAATTAAGTCCCAGGAGTGTGCAATGACTCTCTGTCTATTAACACCATCCAATTATTTATAATCATAACGCGAATGAATGAGTTGCCAGTAATCGGATCCTTGCGTTTGCACAAAGATTTCCTAAGCAATTACTTTAAATATATGAAAAATTCACATATTTGCACTGCGGTGGAAAGATGAAATTAGAAGATCCTCGCAGCTAAGAACACTACTGAAACTAGTAGTTGTAAGTAGGACCTGAAAAAAATTTCAGGCCCGTACGGGATTTGAACCCATGACCTCTGCGATACCGGTGCAGCGCTCTACCAATTGAGCTAACAAGCCAACTGGGAGCTGAAACTAGTAGTTGTAGTTTACAGTAGTGTTCTTAGCTGCGAGGATCTTCTAATTTCATCTTTCCACCGCAGTGCAAATATGTGAATTTTTCATATATCTAAAATCTTCATTCACTCGGATGTTTATTTGTACCCAATTCATTAACCAGCTCCCAGTTGGCTTGTTAGCTCAATTGGTAGAGCTCAATTTTGGAATTGAAATCGTCGCCGTTTTTCCCTTGTTTACTGAATTTTCTTCTCAATCATGACAGTACACCTCTTTTAAGCAAGTGTCATGGCGAAACATGTAGAGATCAAGCGACCCAACGATGGAGTTGTTTACAATGAGTTCCCGTTTAACCATGAACCAATGAAATGCACTCAAACTAGTCACCAAGGAAACGGTTAGACTGAGGAATCAGACTTCGTTCCTGTTTTATTTTGTTTTTATTTTTAGTTTAATTTTTTTGACGAATAAAGTCGTTGAAGACTGAATCAAATTAATAGATTTAGAAAACCGTGCCGAAATCAAGTTGATTGTTATTTTCTTTCGTAGATGACTTTCTTGTCTAAGTTTTCACCGGCGCTGATCAAAACTAAAGACATAAAAAAGTGCAGCCCGAGCTATTCTCAAATTTTTTTATCTCTGACTTCAATTCGCAGAACAATTTTTAATCACGGTTAAAACGACAATGACAACAAATAACACTGAATAATATAGCAGGTAACCTTCGTGTTGTTTCATTTTGATAAACTTCAACATGAAGCAAGTTTAATTTATTGATGAATTAATTCACGATAAAATTAACAGCACCCGTTCTTAGAGTTTTCATATATGGTTTATGAAATGTATCAAAGAAAAGCCCTAACGTTGCTTAAAGCCACGCTCAATTACAAAAGGTAACTAAGCCCTAAAATCTTAGGTCGCTTGCTAACGATCGTGTTTAGTACTGGTAGGACAATAGTTCCTGCTAAAATTGCTTTATTTAGTGCTATGGATCCACAGATATAGCATGCAAGTTATTATTGGTCTGTTATTCACTCACTCGATTGTAGATAGCAATTGCTTAAATGTACCTACAGTGTTTTTAGGCGAAAAAGAATTGAACATTGTAACTCGCATGTCTTAAACTACTTTAAGGCTTTGAGACTAAAACAGTGATATTGGAAATCTAGATAAACTCATCAGGATCCGAATTTGAGCTCCTTCTCTTTCAGACAATGCATTAAAGGACAGCTGTAGGCAGACTTAGGGCACAACCGGTATCGTTTACATATAAGAAACTAATAATATAACCACCTCAGCAGCTTCAGGTTATATTCGAGCAGGAATATTCTAAATATTATAGCAAAGAGATTAAATTCACCTGTGCAGCTTTGACCATTTCCATTAAATCCAGGGTGGCATTCACAACGATAGGATCCGTTGGTGTTCGTGCAGATAGCATTCACGTGACAAGAGTGATTTCCTTTACATTCGTCAATATCTGAGGAAACCACATATATATTTGCACCTCATCATGTTTGTCACTTTAAAAATGAGCGGACTCTCAGTCGAGTGATTACTTTGATAATCAAACATAATTAAAAAAATTTTTTCTCTTTTTGTGTTCCACGAATTAGATATTTGAAACGTATATTTTATCACGAGTATTTCAGTTTATCAAGCTATCGGCTCTGAAACAACTGGCTTGTTCCTGCTGCTCCCACAAAACGTACCATCCCTTGGGGGATAGGTCGTCACAAAACACTGGACCAAATTTCGGTGTAGCGTAACTACTCTTAATATTGGCATCACCCAGGTTTTGATAATTATAGCAGGTAAGACCGTGTCTTTAGTCTTTAACGCTTACTAGATTTTTTCTTAGTTCCCCGCGAGTTCAAATCTATTGTTCTGTCCTGTAAGCCCATTCATCAAGTCTCCCTTTGCCAGTTGAGATTTTTTTACCACTGAATGTTTATTTAATACAAGTGTGTCATTATCAACATTGTCTTCAGGCCTCAGTACACTCATCTCTTTTTTTATACAAGGTATGCTGGTAAAACAAGTCTTGCAACGATGATAGTGCTTAGTTTCCCGCAAGTTTAAATCTATTGTTCTGTCCTGTAAGCCCATTCATCAAGTCTCCCTTTGCCAGTTGAGATTTTTCCCCCTGAATGTTTATTTAAAACAATTGTGTCATCATCAATATTGTCTTCGGGCCTACATTCATCTCTTCTTAATACAAGGTAAAATGGCGAAAACAAGTCTTACAACGATAATGGTGCTTTTCTTTCTGATGGAAATGGTTACAAAAGAAACGCATCAAATACCTGTGCAGTTGCGTCCATTTCCAGTATATCCGGGGTGACAAGTACAAACGTACAATCCTTTGGTGTTCATGCAGATAGCATTCACGTGACAAGAGTGATTTCCTTTACACTCGTCAATATCTGAAAAACAATCGATACATTTTTGCACCTTATCGTTTTTTGTAACTTATAGTCGTTCAATTCCTTTGATCATCATAAATTTTAAAACAAATGTTTCTCTTTTAGGGCTACATAAATTAGATATTGCGAAATTATATTTCAGCTCAAATAGTTTAATTTATCAACCTGACTGCTCTGAAACAAGCCAGGTGTAAACCATGGTTACTCTGTGCCTAAACATGCATGGGTAACGCTGCTTAAAATCGTGAGAATATTTACAAAAATGGGTTTTATTGGGAAATATTGATAAGGTCATCATCAAAATTACCTGAGCATGAGTGTCCATCGCCGGTGTATCCCACTTTACATGTGCATTTGTAAGAACCATACGTGTTAGTACAGTTTGCATTCACATCGCAGTTACTGATGTTATATTTACATTCATCCATATCTAGAATGTGGATAGAGAAGCAGTAACTAAGTTAGAGCAACTTGAGAAAGGCATCCTCGCTAGAACTGATCCAAACCAAATATTAGGATAATGGTATCAATAATAGTATAATTTTATAATAATCTCATGTTACTGATAACTCGTAACAAAATAAAGTAACTCATGCAAACTTATAAGACCTACCTTCGTGAACCATATCACAGTAAATCAGTTTTGCCTTTCCTTTACAAGTTGGATTCAGCCAATACTTGCCGCTTATGATGTGTTTACCTTCACTTGCCTTTATTTCGTGACAAGACAACGCCGGTAATTCGGGGATAGAGCCTAAGGGAGCTGCAGCAAAGATAAGTTTTACGTTAACCACCAATTCTTAGTTCTTCTAGGACGGAGAAGATTTTGAGAAATAGAAATCACATAGATGGAAATACCTTTGATTTCTCACCTCTGCCGTTCAATCGCCGGATGTAAAACCATGCGGGTGCTGAAAGGAAATTCTCTGGTCTCGCCTCCTTGGTGCGGTTATTTAGTTCACATATCTGGTAATTTCTATTGTAGTTATAGCTTTGGCATGTAATCTCCTGTCCACATTTGACATCGCAAAGATGAGGAGCCGCCACTGACCATCTTTTGAAAACAGAACGCTTGAGAGCCATTCCTTGTACATTTACTTCGGTCCTACATTGATCATTAGCTGTGACAAACTCCATGGTAAATGTGAAAAGGACGAATCTTAAATGGCGGAACAGCCACCACATACTTCTTTCCTTGTGCTTAATCTGAAAATATTTAGGATAAGACGCCACAGGTAAATGTTGAATTCCCGCCTAGTTACAGCTTACTTTGAAAACTATCTATCTACCAGGTGAATAATAATAAAAATCATAATACATGTCATGGACTGATTAATGGCCCTCCCGAAATCTTGCGAGAACACTCCATAGCAGCTTGACAGGAGTAAATAAGATTCCATTATTTGAGAACGACATAAAAACTCGAGTGCAGAGATATATACTTGAGTGCAGAGAGCTATAATTCGAATAGAAGTTCAGGATCAGGCCAAGTAAATTTAGCCAAATTTACTTAGCCAGAAATACAAACAAACTTACAAAATTCCAGAAAAAAAATCAATCACCTACTACTCAGCTTGTCACTAACAATTAGGCAATTGTGGAGTTCATTTAAGTTAATGAAGCTGCAAATGTGACAGCTTCTTTTTTGTCATCTAACATGTTCAAGTTCTTTTTATCCTTACGTCACATAAATTTATGCTGTAGGTTGCTCCCAAATTATATCACTTGAGAATTTCGAAATTGCAGAATTTCTCGTGTTTCTACCAACCCCTTCGTCACCACAAGTGCATGTATAATTTGTTTTAAAATGAGGACATGACAGGTCGTAACAGCTATTAATGACCATCATTTGAATACAAAACTTTTATACTAATAGAGACTCGCCATCTTTTTTTTTTTTCTGGGTTGCTTGATTTTTTAAAATTTATTACTTTTTTTACGCGGGGCTGCTCAATCTTTTTAACATCTTTTAAGTGTGACATCCGACTAAACAATAAAAGAGAGCTTTCGAGCAAAATTCTATTTGAAACGACTTAATTGAGTTAGAATTGTTAGATCCTAATATTTTCTAGTCCCAAGGAACCTTTTATTTGAATTTGAATTTGAGACCATGTACAGGTGGTCTAAATTCTGAAATTTCAAACCTCTCTGACAAACTTTGGTGCCATTATATTATTAATGATCTTTATATTCTTGTTTTGTTTCTACTGCTAAGAACTACCGAAATTCGGGAAAATGAATAAAAGAATTGTGAAACTATTTCGAATAAACCTTTTGAGACATTGTGTTTGTGTCAGTCTGGAAACTCGAAGTTTGAAGCGAACTTCTTTAGCGTTACTCTTAACCACATGTCTACTATAATTATGTTATTACTGTCCGAGTCGCTACACCTTTGTTCTTCCGTTTCATTGATATCGGTAACTTTTACATCTCTTGCCGTTATTTGGGAATGATAAATGTTGTTTCGTAGACGGAGTCGCAGTTAAGATGTTGATCGGCCACACGATTTAAATATGAAAATGAAACGAGTGAGCCTAATATTTGTTGATATGTCTTGATCCATTGTTGTTTTGAGTTGCAATATTTTGGCGATACAAAACATATCGATCGTGACCGTTCGATTTATGGGAGAGAATATTCATCTAATAGCAAGTTGACAGGAAAAAAGGTTAAAACAAGACTCTGTTTTTTCCTTACCTAAATATTACCGCGCTCGCAATTTTCCGTCAGCTGTATAAAACAACAACGTAGAACTTTTGCGCTGAAGATTCGTTTTGAACAAAATGATTTGATTCATCTTCCATATCAATTTAAGAGAGAGGATATGAGGTTGAATTTACATTGTGAATCCATCTATTGAAATGAGGCCTTTTAATTGAAAAAGTTCAGTTTAATTAGAGCAAAGCATTGGTATCGATTATATTTATAACGTTATACACGGCAGAACTCTTTATATGATTTCTGTACCGTTTAATCGAATCTCAAAGTTGTTCTTTGATGGTAAAAAATTGTCTATTCAGTAATTTGTTTAGATGTAATTTGTTCTAATTTTTTAGCTTCTGTTTCGCTATTCAGTTCCATACGAGAAAGCAAAGATAATAAGGTTAGAATCTTATTCATAAACGCAAAATATTTTTTCTTTCCCTAAAAAATGTAGTCGCATTCCTTTACCAGTTTAGAGTTGCTTTGCGAAAAAGGACTGAAAAGCATTTGAAATGATTATTTTATCAATATTTGTCATTTTCCAGCTACGTGTATGTGTGGCAAAAGATGGGTGCTCGCTCCTTTGAAGTCCTTAATAAATATTTTGCATCTAGATATGTTCAGGCTCAAACGCTTGGAATTTTTTTTTTAATGTATCAGTACACAGAGAAAACACGTTCGATTTGAACTTTGTATTAGCATAGAGTAAAATATATATTTTTTCATATTAATAATAAGAGAGAACTTCACTCACCCTGAAAAGGAATGACGAATGATAAACACAAAATTATTTCTTCGAGCCCCCGCACTCTTCAACGTCAGGGAGACTTGATTATCAGCTCTCAGAAACTTTTAAGCCTAAAAGATATATATTTCATCTCATGTTCAAAAACGAGTGCCCTCAGATATTTCAGAATGATGTGTTGACATACTTAAGAAAAGCCCTCCAGAATCTACATACGCACTTCGCGTCAAATTGTTGCCAAGTAGCTTCGTTTCTCAATGCACAGCCCTTGTGCATTGAAACTTGAGTCCGAGATAAAAACACCTGGGTGACTTGAAAATAATTAATTCTTGAAGATTCCACTTCTCAAAGCAGAAAAGAAGTACGATCAGTCAAGGAATTTGAAATTTATTCTCTTACTATTTATTCCCAAAAAAAACATTTTTTGACTCAGTTATCAACAGTTGAGAGAAAAGTTGTTTCGAATCATTTATCCAAAATGAACCTCATAATTCCGTTCTAGCCGAAACTTATATGAACGCTATCAGTTGTTTGTTTTAATTGTTTAGATATTCTTAGAGACTACTTCAGCCCTCTATACATAGAGAATAAAGTAAGTTCCCGCACGACAGTTGCTACAATTTTTTTTCCGTTTAATCTTTTCTAAGGCACCGCAAAGAACCCCAAAAAGTCGAGGGAAAGTAGAAACAAAGTAGAATTCGACCACCATCGTGTTAAAACAAATAAACAGGCCTTCTATGGATGGCATTCATATTTGGAAACTAAATCCTAAAAGGTAGCCGTAATTAGTTTGCCGTCAACTACTTACCAAACGCTATTTTGGGATTTAAGTCAAACTTAATCTACGTAACTCTAGAGCTGATAAATATAAGAAATGCGGTCCTCAACAACCTGATTGCTACCGAGTTAAAAATGCTGTCTTTCACCAGGGCATTATAACTATGATTACGATACCAACCGTTTGTTTTAAGTCAATGTATAATAATTAACATCAAAAAAAAGAACTCCATCGTTTCTGTTTTGGCTCCTCGCAAGTATTGAATTCAACAAGATTCGGGCCGGAAGTTAAAGTATTATAGTCGTTCTGTTTGGGATGTTTGCCAACTAATGGCGGAGATACTTGGTTCATTAATTTTAGATGAAAACTAATCGGTATAAACTATTAGTTTTTAGGCACGAAATAAGGTTTGGTTAATTTTAACCACAAACCTACGAAAGCTACTTTCAAATCAGCTCTTAGGAGTATTTTCATAACATATCCCTCTCATTTTTTCATAATCCATTGCCTAATTAAAGAAACCCATCCAAAAACTAAGGAAAACATAATTAACCTTGAGGAACTTCAAATTGTCCATTCTAAGCAAAGCAAATATTGATGATGTGGGATGCAGTTAATTTGTTCATAGTAAACAAGATTCCATTACTCGAGAACGACATAAAAACTTGAGTGCAGAGATGAAGCTACGATCGAATTTAAGTTTAGGATCAGGCTAAATAAATTGCAGAAATATTCTACGGAAATGCAAACAAACTTACGTAATTCCAGAAAAAGTTGAATGATTTATTACTCAGCCTGACACTAACAATTGGGCGACTGTGAAGTTCATTTAATTTAATGACGCTGCAAATGTGACAGGTTTTTTTGTCATCTAACATGTGTCAGTTCAAGTTCTTTTTATCCTTACGTTAATTAAATTTATGATATAAGCTGCTCCCAAATTACAGCACTGAAGAATTTCTCGAGTGTATTCCAACCCCTTCGTCACCACAATATGATATTGTATCGTATAGGTTTTTTTAAAATGAGAGACTTGACAGGTCCTTAAAAGTATTAATGACCATCATTTGAATACAAAACTTTTATACTAGTAGAGGCTTGCTCTCTCTGGGTTGCTTGTTTCTTTGTTTGTTTGTTTTTTTTACGCGGCGTTGCTCACTCATTTTAACATTGTTTAAATGTGACATGCGACTAAACAATAGAAGAGAACTTTTGAACAAAATTTTATTTGAGATGACTAAATTGAGTTAGAACTGTATGATCCTAATATCCTCTAGTCCTAAGGAATCTTTCAACTGAATTTGAACTGAAATTTCAAACCTCTAAGTGAAACGTTGGCGCTTTTCCATGGACGAGCTTTTCATTTGCAATATTTACATTCTTGTTTTGTATGTATTGCTAAGAACTAAAGAAATTCGAAAAAAAATGTAATAAAAGAATTGTGAAACTATTTCGAAAAAAGCGTATTAGACATGGTGATTGCCTCAGTCAAGAGACTCGAAGTTTGAAGCGTACTCATTTAGCGTCCCTCT